ACCTATATCTTTAATTTAGTATTTATTATATTTTTAGTCCCTTTAGTAAGCCTTTTAATTACTTCTTTATTAATTTATTTACTATAGTAATATTAGTAATAAAAGTTATCTTAATATAATAGTAACTAGTAGTAAAGTATTATTTTTTAATAATTATAGCTTAAAAAACTAAAAAATATTTTAGTTATTTTTTAGTTATATTTCTATAAGCTTTTTTATTACTTTAATTATTCTAGCTTTTATATAAATAAACTAGCCTTAATAACTAGTATCTCTTAATATAAGCATTTCTTTTTAACTGCTTATATTATTAACCTTTAAGACTGTTCTCTTACTATACTTAACCCTAGTAAGTAGTACTATTATAGCCTTTATAATTTTATTTATAAGAAATAAGAAATCTTCTAGGTATTACCTATATAGAACTTTAAGTTTCTCCCTGTTAATGCAAAGCTTAAGACTTATAACATTATAGAGTATGTTAAGGTAGAGCTGTGTAAGGCTTATGTATAACTAAGAAAAATAAAGTGTACTTCGTGATATACTAAAGTAAGGTTATCAGGCTCTGAAATCTCATATCCTTTGTACATTTGTATAAAGTCTACGTCGATGTGCAATAAATATGCTACTTTCCCACCCCAAATGAGCTCAAAACTACTTGAATATCTTGGTCCTCGATTGGGTCAATCTTGGCAAAGTACTTATCGTGCGCAAGCCGCGCCTCTAGGACCTTCTTCTCTGTCTTTGAAAGGCTTCCTACAATACTCTTGTAAATGCCTAGTGCAGGGTATGCAAGGAGGCCAAACATGGCTAAACGAGTCAAGACCGAACCCATCAGCAAAGATTCGAAACTGCCTGCTCCAAACAAGCGGAACAGAACGTTGAAAGACTTACCGCTTCCGGGCTTGGCAATCAGCCCGAAGCCTGCCTTGCCGAGACCCGTCACCAATCCCACAGGGCCTCCCTTGACTGCACCGACAGCGGGCTGCTTGAACAGGCACCAGGAGGCATCCAGGAAGTTGTACGCAAAGTTCTGTGATATGTTACCACTGCTCTTCGTAAAGTTGCTACAAGTTTGGAAACAGGTAGAGAGAGACTAGCTTTGGAGTACATACCTTACCAGCTTCAGCGGTGCCGCTTTTCCAGTCTGTTATCTTGTCATGCTTCCGGACCTTTTCGCCGTATAGTTCTGGCAGGTTATGTAGGCCTTCAGTGAGAGCGAGAGGCACATCAACTAGCGACCCCTTGAGAACGCTGCTGGTCATCTTGGAGATGCCCTTTCCGGCGGATTTTCCGGCGTTTGACGACGTTGATACCTCTCGGTCTGGTTTCAATTTTGCTTCTACCAGACTTCTCTCTTGGGGGTCCTCGGTTGTAGTGGAGTTTGCAGGCGATCTACTCCGGGACTCAGCTTTGAGTGCTGCTCTTGCGGCGTGTCTTTTCTCCCGGTTTGCAGTCTCGTGTCGGACCTTGATGACGGGGGCGGACATCAGGCTTCCGAAGCCCTTTGAGAATTCAACGAGCGAACCTAGCAGGGCCGATGACGTTGCGGTCAAGGGATCCCATCGCCGGTTTTCGATATCCACCGGCTTGGGGCGATTTCTGCGGCATGTGTTGGTAAGCCCGATCGTTTGACATGGAGGTATTGCCACAAGGAATTAGACTAGACAGGCATCGACACTTACAGCTGCATTTTGGTCAAGTCGATCTTTTGGCGGTTACTAAGGACGCTCAAGGCCCTGGGAGACAGCCTCAGCCCATTCTTGAACCTCTTCCTGGTTTTCTTGTCCAATCGCTTAGCATCGTATATCCAGGCGGCTGCCTCGCTGGGCAACAAGTCGCACGTAAGCGTGTCCCGCGGGAGATGGTGGTGAAAGGACTGCACGGCCTGTGCGACGCCATTCTCGGTTCGCATGGTTTGCGATATGCGGAGTGCGGCCGTCTTTGTAGCGGGCGCAACCAGCGTCTCGATAGCCTTGGTGAGACTGTCAATCTCGAGCTCCTTGTGACGGATCGGGAATGGGCCAGCGCCGGCTTTGGCTACCATTGATCCCCAGAACGGTTGGCTAAGTACTCGTTAATCATATTGTACTACACTATGGGAGGCGGGCTAGTTGGATGTGTGCTTACTCCCCAAAGAAAGGGACGATGAAGGTAGGGCAAGCGTTGAGAAGCCCACAAGCCGTTGTCCCAGCTCCGCCATGGTGTATTACACCCGCAACGTGTTTGAAAAGCCATTCTAGATTCAAAAATAAAGCTTTAGTACAGAATCTAGCGGCGTTGGAAAGCTGGTCGGTCAGCTTACCATGAGGGCAGTCGTCGATAAATATGGCGTTTTCGGCGCTGCGGCCTTCACCAAGTTTGGCCCATCCCTTAGAGATGATGGCGCGGGCGCCGGACCTTTGTAACGCTGCTAAAATCAGATCGGTCATCCTTGCTGAATCATCCATGACAATACTTCCGAAGCCGATATAAATAGGTGCTGGCCCTGCCTGCAGGAATTGGGCAATATGATCGGGCGGGCTGTATTGTGGTTCCTCCCGGAAAAAGAAGCCACACACATCTAGGACCAGTCTGTTAATAAGCAAATTCTGTATCTTACAGATACGGAATGTCATTGGAGAGGTCCCTGGGACTTACCGATATAAGGCGGCCAGTCTAAGGGCTTCTGTACCAAGGCGGGAGACCAGCAGTACGTATATGGCACCTGGTGGGTGCTGAGAAGGCTGGGTGCGTTAGAAGACGACACGGGGTCCAAATTCAGTGTTTCTCTCCTCCAATCATTGATTATGTCTCCAAGCCTGCGTTGAAGTTCAGTAAATAATCTTGGCCTGTCCCTTTTGAGTAGAATACGTACCCTTGCCATGTCAGCGTCTCCACCATCCCATATGACAAGTAGTTTGTCAACTTCGGATCGAGATTTGACTGCTTGATATTCGCTAACGGATGCGGAAAAGCCCTGGTGGGACTGTAAGGCATAGTGAACATAAGATGCAGTGGAATGCCTAAGGCTTCTGCTAGGTGGATATGCGCAAAGCTTGGAGGGTTTGCGATTATAGCCTCAGCAATAAAGGGGACTCCCGAGATAGGATCGGGCTCGATACACGACAGCCAAAACTTGCCTAGCATCTCCTCGACCATATCCTGCTTGCGGCTGATGTCGCCAGCCATAAGCGAAGATACAGAGGGGACAAGGCTCGGGTTCTTCACCATATACTTTATCCGCGGTATTAGAAAAGCCATAGCGGCAAAAATCCCTTGATATAGGTGTCAGACTTACTGCCATGAGGTCCGAAGGGTCTCCGCCCGCGGGATAGAATTCGAGGTTGGACTGTCGCACAAAGTCGGCAAAGACATCGTGGGTAGCAATGCGGACCCGATGCCCGTGCTTTTGTAGTTCTGTGCCGAGTGCAATAAAGGGCTGAACGTCGCCTATGTGATAGGAGCAGAGCAGGTGGTTAGCTAGACCAATGCAAATACAAATCTGAAGGGAGCTTGGTGTTACCTCGGCTGCCAACAATCTGCAGCACTATATTCAGTGCACAAGGTGCCCTTGCACCAAGATGAGGTCGTACCGCGGCGTTGCTCGTGTAGGACTCAGGTGGCATCGCGTTTTGCAGGACATTTTGTAGAGAGCTTTTGCCGTCAAATGTCAAGTCGATACGGGCCTCATCTATTGAGCAGGCAATGGTGTTAATGGTTGTGATCTACCGGCTTGAAGTTGTTGGGGCGTTGGCCCTCGAGAGTCGAGACTAACCGTTCACAGCTGCTGCGGTATCCAGGTGAGTACCGTGGCCTTTGATGAAAAGGGCGCCATTTTCGCCTAGGGCCCTCCGCCGTGCATCGTCTGTTGTGTTTACAGACATGGCGCAACTGTAGATGATCTAAGGGGGGGGTTCGATGAGAGGGCGGACGGGGGAGGCAATGGTGACGTCTGATGATTCTTTTGTTTTTGGGCTGTAGCTAGCTTGTTGGAGGCGGCTCTGCTTTATCAATGGAGGCTACCAACGGCTTTGGCCGTAGGGGTCTGACATTGCAATAAAACATACTGATCTAAGTCTAGTAAGCATTGACTCAGGCTTAGGTAGTATTGACGATAAGAGTACGAGACCAACGAGTGCTGTATCCACCTGGGCATTAGCGATCCATCCAAAACCCAGAAACCCAATGGCTAACGTGGTTCTACCTGGCTGCAAATAATACCCATCTACGGAGTAGGGCGTCATGAAGAAACATCAAGTGCCGGAGACACCGGCGATCAGACACTAGGGGCACCGAAAGGGATTAGTGCTTGTCAGTTGTTAAACGAGTAAACGAAGTGTACGAGGCTGAACGAGATACTCAGCCTAGGGCATCAATATGACTGGTTGTTCTCCCAAGAGCCCTGCCCACTGCCCCACCAAGTGATCTGCCAAACTCCTTTTTGCCACCCGAGACTTAGCAATACGATTTCTTTCAGTCTTCTCTTCGTTCTGAATCACTTTCTCAGTCAATTTTTCGTTCTTCATTATACGTCGTTTAGAGTTCAAGCAGCTATCCCCGTTGATTGCTTACTCTTTTGTTTGCCTAGACCGGCTGGACCCTCTCGGCATTTCCAAGTCGCACGTCATTGATCATGGGGCCATCCTCGACAGGACCTCGGACACGGCGGCCACACCTAAAGTCCAGAAATGGCTGCTTCACCTGCAGAAAACGCCGAGTCAAGGTAAGTTTGTCTCCGAATTCCTCTTTTCGACTTGCCTGGCCAAGGCTGAAACAAGCTTTTGCCCCCTTGTCAGTGTAGCGAGGAACACCCGACATGCCGGTCATGCCTGAGCCGCAGAACCGTTTGTAAATACCCAGACGGAGTAGTCGAGTCTACTGCAACACCAGTGTCTATACCACCGCCGCCCTCCCTCGTACATTCACCACTGGCCGTGTCAGTGTCACCCTCGGGATCTACAGCAACACCGGCTCCAGCACTCCAGAGTCTTGGCCATGTGACCAGCCAAGCACTGGAGTTAAATCAATTACATCTGCTTCACCACTGGACAGTGCACACAAGCGTTGATCTTTGCAGATGCTCCAAGACACTGCACATATGGCAGGAGGTGCTTCCTCAAATTGGTTTCCGATATCCATTCGTCTTACATGCGTTGCTGGGCCTTGCCGCTCTGCATATTGCTTACACTTCTCCAACTGAGCGAACTCAGAGTTGGCTAGTTGGCATGTATCATCACAGCGAGGCCTCGACCGGATTCCGGAAAGAACTTTGCACCATCACTGAAGACAATAGCGAAGCATTATTTACCTGGTCCATATGCAATGTCCTATATGTCTTTGCTACATCAAATCCTCTTTACCAGGGTATAGATGGAGGCCCTACCGCGTTGACATCGGCACAGAAGGAGAAGGTCTTAGGTACAGAATGGATTCCTATGATGCGCGGTTTACAAGCTGTGCTGCAGCCTACCCATAATTACTTACGATTTGGGCGCATGAAGGCCATAATGAGTACGGGGAACTGGGCTGAACTCAACCCAGAACAAGAAAGTCAGGACTCTGAAGATGTCCACTTCTGCCACGCCCGCGAATCTTGGAACGAATCTGACCATGCCGAGGTCTATGAGGAGGCGCTTCAGGTCCTCCGGAAATGCCGGCTTTACTCATCGCAGTTCCGCGGAATGGACTCTGAGACGAGAAGCAACTGGGGATATAACAAAGAGTGGTCTGCACCTCTGATGTTTATTCATTTTGCACCCGAATCCTATTTCTCACTCCTGCGGCAGAGACAGCCGCCAGCTTTGATCCTGTTTTCGCTCTTTGGAGCACTCCTGCATAAGATAAGGAATTACTGGTTCTTGGAGGGCTGGGGCAAAGAGATAGTGGAGGTAATAGCAGATATCCTGGGGAGTTACTGGAGAGAATGGCTGGTATGGCCTTTGCAGATTATTCAAGACTAAGAATTAATTAGTCTAATACTATCGACATACTCAGGTTGCTAGCCCAAAGAGGTAACACTCCAAGAAGATTATTGGTATGAACCATGTATCCTACGCCTCAACAGGCTACCCAAAGCCTATCAATCTTGTGAGCCATAGAGCGGACAAATATGGCCGATGTCAACGGCCACTACTACACTGAAAACAGCGCGAATAAATGAAGCGACATACTCGAGACTAGCTTAGATGGCCATGGAGTCGTATTTATGAGGGTTTCAACACATTATGTCCAAAACCTCAGCTATGACGATAAGCCAGCCGATTGTGTATCATTACATAACCGCTGGCCATATTACATCAGGTTGGAGGAGGAGGAGAGTGAATGGCCTCATCATGAAATTGAACCGAATGTCGTTATTGAGGCGGCACTAGCTTACTCGCCTGAAACTAGTTGTAGGCTTGCATTCGTTGATACAATTGCTTCTGGAAGCCGGTAAGTTTAGAGGCATCAAAGTCGAGGCGGCCGTTGAAGGCCTTTATCTGCCAAAAGATTCAGCGGGCGGACCTTCGGCGGAAACCCTGTAAAGACAATATCGGGTCTAGTTATTTAGCTGCGTCAGAAGACTTGCCTCTCTTCTCATCGCTCCACGAGATGCCGTAGATCTTTGGCGAACATTTTGTTTTAGGACATTGGATTCGCCAAGAGCCAACACCTTTGTTGTTCTCATTGACGGCACTTGACCAGACCTTTTTTATTAGGCTGTTGCCCTTCGCCATGACTGCTAATGGCTACTATCTTCGGCGGGGGCATATCAATCGAACAAGACCAGGCTCGTGAGATAGCCTTTGCGACAGGGTTCTATAATAAAAGGCCTTAACGAACGGAACAGGAGGCAAATGGCGAAGGTAACAACTAGAGCCACCGGAATGATGGCATTAAAGATGAATAATAGTTCCAGAAATATAGTGACGCTTGACCTGCAAAGATGCTTACCTTCGTTCAGGCTTTCCAATAGCAGTTTCAGCAAGCATGACCAAATTCTCTCCTCCAAGGATAATAGGTATAGACACCAATTCGATAAGCCAACCGACCAGCAAGTGCTTAAAGCTGGACAAAAGGCCAGACCAAAGGGGCATTGCCAATAAAGCTAAGTTGCCAGCAAGCAGGTATTTAAACTCCGATTTGATTTACTAACTAAGGCAGCTAGCTCACTCGGCAGTCTTATTTCACACGAATCCCATTTACCCTTCAAGAGCGATTAGTAGGACTAGCAATACTAGGGCCGGTATGTCTAAGACATGATTGCAGGATCGACGTGTGAGGCGCGTGATGTGAGCATCAGCAGTGGGGGTCTATCAACTCAAAATAACAGTCTTATCAAATCAGTTTAGGCAGTACAGTATACCAGCTGCCTAACAAAATTGCCCAAGATCGCAGAACCGACGTTTTCATGTGATTACAGTTGCGTAAGTAACTGACCAGATTTATATAACAATTACTTTAACACACCACGAATCATTCAACAGAGTGCAGGGATGGCTCGGAGATTTAAAGAGCATAAGGCTGTTTACTTGTCAAAAAACCTCTGTACGGATCCTCCGTACTCTCTGTTCTAGTCCTGAGGAGGGTACGTAAGACAATGCACATTTCAATACCGACTTGCCTAAACGGGCCAAGGCTGACTGGGATCGGCAGAGCTGAACCATTTTACGTACCAATGTACCGAACATTATGTCACTGCTGACAATGTAGATCAATGTCAGCAGAGCTGAAAGAACATAAATAAATCTGACACCTGTCATCTCTCCCATCTTCATCCCTCATCTTCTCTTAATTCGAAGCTTCTACCTTTTCATACGTCGCCATGGCCCACCAACAAGGATACCCGCAGCATCAACAAACGATGCAGCAACCAAGCAATGACAGAGATGCTTTTCCAGGCGGTACTTACAGCATCGCTCACCGCGACACAAACGCCGTTCTCAATGTTGATCTCCAGCAAGGCGCCATGGTGCGCTCCAAGTCGGGCGCCATGATTCACATGTCCGGCTCTATCGAATTAGCCGGAAAGTCCAAGTTCTCTCTAGGAAAGCTCTTTACTGGCGGTAACTTGTATGAGTCGACGTACGCCGGCCCAGGTCGCGTTGCGCTTGGCCCGACGCTTTTTGGAGACATCATTACCCTGCATGTTGATGGTCAACAGTCTTGGACCATTGGCAAAGATGCTTTCCTCGCTTGCACCTCTGAGATTTCCAAGAAGAGGGAGACCCAGGGTATTGGCAAGGCGTTGTTCTCGGGAGAGGACCTCTTTGTCTTTCGTATTGAGGGTCAAGGCATTATGTGGCTGACAAGCTTTGGTGCTGTCGATCGACTAGATGTAAGTTTTCCCAGGCATTTTACTACCGGGCACTACTAATTATTGATGAACAGCTTCGACCTGGGGAAGATCACATTGTCGACAATGGTCATCTCGTAGCTTGGAGCTGCAAGTACTCCATCGAAAAGGCTGGCGGAGGAGCGATGACTGGAATGAAGACGGGCGAGGGTCTGGTCTGCCGTTTCACTGGCCCTGGATCGGTTTATGTACAGACGCGAAACATGGATGAGTTTCAGTCATTTATTAAGGCAACTGTTGGGGCTTAGATCTGTTCGACTTATCGACGCTAACGTTTTTATGATGGATATCTTGTTTGAGGTTGGCGTCAATTTTCATAGGTCAAATATGAGATTTGTTGACGAAAGAAGCTGACTGAGTTGTTTTAACATCGACTAGATCATCGGTACTAGGCATTTCTTGATTACAGATGGCGAAGTACTTTTTTGGCGACTTTGCTGACATAACGCTATTTTCAACCCGTTTGGATGACATTTCGACTCCCATGGCTGGCTATGGAGTCATCTACCAATCTCTTTCAAGACAATGATACGCTATTCGTAGAGGGTATCGTATAGTCCGAGCGATTGGACCTTCTGTGTTTGTATGAGATGAAACTTTCCACGGTCTCTTTTGACAGTGGTGGTGAAGGTGGTGTTGCTGACACAGTTCGATCTTCGTTGAGTTCTATTAAAATCAGTTCGTGGTTTTTAGTTACAGAAGGGCTCAACTATCTTTCACCAAAGTCAGCTAAGACTCTCATAGTGATGACAGCAGCCGGGTTATTGTCTGCTGATAGAAAATTGTCCTTGACTTCCAGAATTACATCAGCTTCTCCAGTGCAAGATAATGATCGGGGACTCAAGAGGTTTCAAAAGATTCTGTAATTTCGAGGAGTGTTTAACTAATATTCCGGAGCTTTGTAAATAGAAGGTCTTGCCAAGACCGAGCTTCTTGATGCGGATCAGCCTTGTTTGCTTATTATCCTATACATATTAGGTAAGAAATCGAGAATTAACTACCTCTTTCTTAACAAGACTGATACAGTTGAACATACTGCATCATAATATACTTTAGCAGTAACAGTAATGTAAGAACATTGTTTTTGGAATTATTATGTCAGAAAAATACATCTAAGAACCAAGCTTAACTAAAATACTAGAGCTGGCGTTAAATACCTAAGCTACAGTCACCCAGTGGGCCTCCTCCTTTACAATTTCATTTAAATTCCTCTAAAATTCCTTTCCTCCATTAATCTTGTTGGTTCTCATATCCCTCCGGTTTTTCCATCCCTTGAGAATCGAAAAACTTTGATGTACCTAGTAGCCACGTTAATGAGAACCTCTTAATCATGAGTCATCAGTAACTTACAAGAATAACCTTTCCAATCGAAATTGTCCTTTGGGTTGCAGTGACAACGAAGTTCGAGTCTTTTCTTCGCATCGGTTGGACAGTGAGTGAATGGGTTGTGCCAATACGCGATGTCGTCAAAGAAATGAATCTCGGACTTATCAAGCATGAGCCCGGCTGCGATTGAGTGAATCGGGGCGTCACCCCATCTCTCATAGAAAAAGCCGCCGGCTTGATCGAGGTGGTTAAAATAATCTAGATATTTTTGACTTCTGAAAAAGTTCAAGTCGCCAATCTCGAAATTTGACCACTAGATTCGAAATGTCAGTCTTCTCCCTCGCCACTGTATTAGTATTGTGCGACGACGTACAAAGTGACACTTGTTATATGTTGCTCCATTGTCATCACTCAAGAAGTCCATCGAGTTATGTGGGCTTAGATGATCAGGATTGTTCTTGAAGAATTCCTTGGTAGTGTCCCAAAGGGTAGGGATCGTCTCGATATACTCAGGAAGACTCAGCACGAAGCTGTACTTTTTCTTCGTTTCCATCATATATCTGAAAGGGTCGTAATCGACATCGCAATAGAGGTTGATATCTGGCTCCACCCGCCAGTAGTAATCATAGTTCATCATGAGGGGTTGCCGAAAAAAGAAGCCCGATTCAAATCTGCACATATGGCGGTAGCTCACAGAGTCTCCATAGATGATTTGCCTCTGGGCCATATCCTCTCTGGTTTTCTTCGCTTTGTCCTGGTCAATCCAATCAGGAAATGACCAGTTATCTGGCGGGATCAAGCCGTAATAGGTTTTGCCTGATACAAGGGCGCTGGTTACTCGCTTGAAGGTCGCATCGAATGGCTTCTCGTTCAAGAACACCCAGTCATATCCGAAGTTTCTATTGAAACGATCTTCAACTTGGCGTATTGACTTGGCTATGTTCCATACATCGCTGTTCCGCGCAAGGGTGACAAATGTAGCGTTCACGCGTGAAGACTGAAATGGCGGCCGGTTTGGTGTGTGCTTCAACGAAGCATTATCTGTCTCTCCGTGAGATGCGACGGACGACTCAGCAGGACAATTCCGAGACCTGAAATCGAAGGCATTACACCGAGAGTCTGAAAATACGGTCGCGGGGCTTAGATATACAAATAATCCTAGTGCCTACACATGGTATTAGGCGTCTGAGCTACAATCTCGGCCGGGTGATAATGAGGGCTTACCAGTAATAAGAATACGATTATTCTTACATATAGCCTGGATCTTTTGACAGAAAGAGGCTGAGGTCCAAAGCGCATTTTAACCTGACTGGTATGGTGTCATAACCTATATAAAGAGGTAGTAAGGAAAGTCAAGAATCAGAAAAAATGAGTGAAGAAAACACAGAAACCAGTAAACTAAGAAAATCAACTGACAATGGAAGTATAAGAAGGGGACTTTGCACAGTACTTAAAACAGGTAGCATATTAAATTTTAGCACTAAGTATCTCTGTTTATGGGGAATTTCGGTTGACTTTTGCTCCCTGACACTCAAGGGCGATATTTATTTTAGTGTGCCTAAATTCTAAACCTAATTTTGACCCTGCTGCTTAGCCTTTTACCCAGGAACAAACTTACTAGTATAACCTCGATTTAGATTAGCTCATCCCTTGAAAGATTTAAAAGTTCAACCGTAGTACCACCAATTGCACATTATCTATAAGGTTTAGCTATTCAGCTACCCTTGGCACATATTTTAGTTCTTAAGGGATAAAACAAGTTTTTACATCCCTGAAGTGGCAACACCTGACGATGTGGATAGAAGAGAAACAATGAATGAGATTGTGACCGAGCATTTAAAACTCCTCATTGCCCCCTTGACCCGATGTCTTTTTACGAAATTGGCCTTGCACAACAAGAGCGAGTTTGAAAATGATACCGGGGAAAGCCGACTCTATCGTCGAGACGATATCTTCTTCGTGGCGGATATTGGGGGTTTGTCATCAGAGGTAAATGACACTGAAGGGATATACGGTAGATTGGGGTAGTTAAGTGCTACCACTATAGGGCTTCTACTAAGCACAACATTAATTCTAGTTCGCATATCCCCTTTGATAGGCCAGCTGGGCCTTGATCGATGAGAAGAACGCTGAGTCCCGAGTTTGCAACCCCCGATGAGACCTTTGGGTTTCCTCAGCCAGGGCTTGAGAGAAGTCGCAAATTTGGCCTCAAGAGCGTAGTCAAGATAATTCGCATTAAACTGTAGCTATTGAACTTAATGGTCTTGTATACTCTAGTCGACTCCTCGTATATTTGATGCTGTAGACGATTATCCTCAGCCTCGGCAATAATTGTAAACCAACCGCCTACGGATCCGAAACTCCGCTGGAACGGACGTGGAGCCGGACCAATTTTGAGATTAGCGTGCTTGTCTCGGGGAGATGGTTGCTCCGCAAACAGGAGATCAGAGGCCGGAAGACGTCGATTTGGCAGCGGCTTAAACCTAAAATAGTGTATAGAGCCGATTACTCAACAATACCGTCATAATACCCGGCGGATTGATAAATGCGGTTCTCTCCTAACTCTAATAAATAGGTTAAATCTAGTACACGAATCCTCGTTTCTAACAATCAGTAATATTGATTTCTCCTTTTTTTAGTCATTATCGTTATCGTCACCATGAAAGCTCTCGTCTCCGGCCGGAGCATCGTCACACGGCTCATCAACGCCACGCGCACCAAAGCCATCTGCGGTCAAGGCGGTCGTGTCCAAGACGATATACCCATCCCCAGCATCTCCTCCAACGAAATCCTCGTCAAAGTCAAAGCTGTAGCCCTGAACCCAACCGACTTCAAGCATCTCGACATTATCTCTCCCCCCAACTCGATCATCGGATGTGATTACGCAGGTGTTGTTCACAAAGTGGGTGATTCTGCCAAGGATAAATGGAAAATTGGCGATCGTGTTGCTGGCGCTGTTCATGGCGGGTTGTATCCTGACAAGGGCGCTTTTGCCGAGTATTTGAAGATCGATGCAGATCTGGCTTTTAAAGTCCCTGAACATATCAGCGATACTGAGGCGACTACATACGGAGTTTCAGCTGTGACGGCCATGCTGGTCCTCAACGTCCATCACGGGCTACCCTTCATCGATACCAAACCTGCTACTCCGAAGAATGAAGCCATCTTCATTTACGCCGGATCAACAAGTGCAGGCCTATATCATATCCAACTAGCAAAAGCAGCTGGATACACCGTCGTCACGACTGCCTCGCCCCGCTCATCCCAGCTAGTGAAGCAATACGGTGCCGATGCTGTCTTTGACTACAATGCCCCTTCCGTTTCAGAAGATATCATCAAAGAGTTTCCCAAAATCACAAAAGCGGTGGATTGCTTCTCAGAGGGCAAGTCAACGTCCATCTGCGCCGCGGTTCTCAAGCCCAGTGGTGGCAAGGTAGTTACACTGCTGCCAAATGGTAAATCCAGTACTCCTGGCGTCACGTACGATCTTGTCATGTCGTATACAGCGATGGGGCATGCCTTTCAATGGCTACCGCCAATTGGACCCAAGTTTGAAGTCAGGCCACAAGATCGAGCTGCTCTTGTACGCTTTTATGAGACTCTACCAAAAATTACACATATCTTGAAACCTATTCCTACTATTGAGCTGAAGAGTGGCTTTGATGGTATATTTGAGGGGTTGGGTAAATTGCGGGCAGGTCAGGTAGCGGGAGGCAAGCAGGTTGTCCGTTTCATCAACGCATAAGAGTAACAGACCAGTGCTTTAAGCTCTAATAATTATTTAACATAAATACCTTGTTTGGTAATAACCTCTTTTTGATACATTTCTCCTAACATTTAAGTGGCGGTGCAGACCGTCGTTATCAGCCATTCGTCTCCAATGTCGACATTGACAGGCGCATTGGCTCCGCCCCTCTTCTCATCCTCCAGCGATTACTGATCTCCACGAGCTCTTCACAGCCCTCAACTGCCCATGACCACTTCGTCAGAAAACCAGGTGTTGCCTCCCAACTCTGCGTGTCATGCGGCTCACCCCAAATAATAAGTCCGTTGCGTCCGGCCGTGAGTTCGTCTGTATCTACATAATTCTCCAAGGCCAGGCCTCGCGGTTGTTCGGTGCTGGCAGAGAAGCTAAACGGTGTTCCTCGCTGCCAAGGCGCAGCAGTATAGCTCATGAGATCACCAACGAGATCGCGCCAAAGTTCAAAATTATCAAACCGGCCTTCGCGTCGTATAAGATTGTCTCGCAGGCGGGCGAAAGGCATAATGTTGATCCAGGGGAAATGATATTGAGATAGCTGCAGTGTGGTAGGGGCCAAAGAAGAAGGAATATTGGGGTTTGGGGGGTAGCGGGTTGTATCGTCTAGGCAGGGGCCAAAGACGGGACAGGTTGTTGGGTCTAGTGATATTGTGTTTATGGTGCGTTTGATGGATATGAAGGCGCGGTAGACGTTGAATTGGATGAGATGGAGGAGCTGGTCAGACGGGAGGGGGAAGTTGGCGTTGATGGGCTTGGGTGTTGAGTGTATGGTCATGATTTGATCGGTAGATGATGGCGGTTCAACAGCTGAGGTATCCTTCCTTGTGCAGTGAGGCGTATAGGACGGAGGATAGGATACAGATACGGCTGTTGAGTCTTTTTCCTCATCTTGGGGAGAGTCATCAATAACCTCGTCAACACGCCAGCGCCTGACCTCAAATGAAGTGGATATCTGATCTATCTCAAAGTCTTTACCCTTGATCCGTTGTCCTAGACACATTAATAAGCACGTTCAGTCATCTGACTACGGAACAACTCACGACGAGCTCTCTGATTCTTCCGGTTCTGCAGCTTTCTTCGCAGCTTATTCGCCTCGGCAATTGCGGCGTAATTCTCCATATTGATGTGGCGTGTATCATCGATTTTGAGATGTAGTCTGGACAAGATGAAATTGACGGCCGAGTTCCTTCGGCGAGTTGAGACACCCTCCGCGCTAATGGAGCAAGCCGATGGTCAAGGCCCGCAAGCTAAACTAGATGAGGATAAACTGTCATCAACCCCACCTGTACTCCGTTCTCCCTGGAAAGTAAGTGGGACGGGCTAGACCTGGAGAGGCAGGAATGTCATCAGCCAGGTACGCCAGCTCACCCTAGAGTTTAATACTGAATAATCACGGTCTATGTTTCTTTCTTTGACTTTATGTTAACTACACGGTGATAATACTGTGGATATTACTTTAAGTCCATGCGAAGATGATTCGTAAGTTGTTCTTCGTAATAATGCTACTCAATGATAATCCACAATGAAGAGTATGAGCATTCTTCGACAAAGAGCATTCCATATAAAGAAGCGCAGCTCACTGACATTTCAAAATTCATCCCGTCTCAATAACAAACATTTCTCAACAGTCCAAAACTACAGCACACTTTCCAACTCTCTATTCTTAAACCCAAAGCCAATCATGTTTCGTTATACCGCCGCTCATGCCACCACCAAAGGCCCAGGCGACGCTCGCCCAACAGCTCTCCAGATCATCAAAGACGAAGGTGTCGAGGAAAAACGCCAGGGCCAAGTCTTCGTCATTACTGGCACCTCCTCTGGAATCGGTATCGAAACCGTCCGCGCCATCGCCGCTACTGGGGCGACTATATACCTCACAGCCCGAGACCTCGACAAGGCCAAGACTGCGCTTGATGGCATCTTTGACTCTTCCCGTATGGAACTGTTCCAGATGGATCAGGGGTCTCTTGAGTCTGTCCGCGCTGCCGCTGCTGCTATTTTGAACAAGGCCCCAAAAATCCACTGCCTTATTGCCAACGCTGGTATAATGGCTATTCCTGACCTTCGCTTTACGGCTGATGGCCATGAACTCCAGTTCGGCACCAATCATCTGTCTCACTTCCTCTTCTTCCAGCTTCTCAAGCCTGCTCTTCTTGCTGCTGCCTCGCCTGACCTCCCCTCCCGTGTTGTGGTTCTTTCGTCTTCCGGCCATAACATCCATGGTATCAACGACTCTGATAACTACGCCTTTGAGCACGGAGACTACGACCCCAACGTCGCTTACGCCCAGTCCAAGACAGCAAATATCTACATGGCCAATGAGATTGAGCGCCGCTATGGCGCACAATACCTACACGCCACTAGTGTCCACCCAGGTATCATTTCTACAGGCCTTACGAGACACATGCCCCCCGACGCCTTCAAGGGTATGGAGCATATCTATCCTGTGATGAAGAGTGTTGAACAAGGAGCTGCAACTACGGTCTGGGCAGCTGTTGGTGAAGCTTGGAAGCATGATGGTGGCAAGTACCTTGTCGACTGCGATGTTGCTAAGCCGGCGGTTGATGGGGACGACAAGATGATTGGGCCTGGTTATGCCCCGCACGCTTATGATGTTGAGAAGGCGAAACGACTGTGGAAGGACTCGAACAAGCTGGTAGGATTGCAGGATGAGGAGTAGTTAATGGCAGGCCGCATGTTCTCCTGTGACGCCCTGGGTCCCAGAGACATTATCGATGGCTTTGACCGATGTGAGAAGGACAAAGAAGGTCGTGAGGGAGGAGATAGACATTAGATAGCTCACTTAAGAAAGAATTGACCATTGCACAATCGCACGTTTATTTCATGTATACTGGCTTTGATTCAATTCATCAACACAGCTATATACCTGGTTTCGAAGAAGGTGCAAACCTTACATTGCTATTCTACATAAGGGTGTAGCGATGTCTATTTCAGATCTATGGAGTTAACTACTTGAATGGATCATTACATCCAGAGCTTAAGCCCCATTTCTCGAGCAACTTCTTATCATCACCAGCCCACTCTCTCAACACCTCAAAGCCCTCATAACTGACCAGTATCATAGTCCCCAATTCATCAAGGTCATCCAAACAAGTCCCCTTAACACTATCAAGAAACCTCGACATATCTAATCTGAGCCAGGTCTTTTGCTCTATGGCTTTTTGCCACTCTGTAAGTGACCTTGCGTTCCATATGGTTGCGCGGCCTGTGAAGCCTAGCTCAGCCAGCCTCGTACTTTGCTGGTACCACCCGAATTTGAGAAAGGTGTAGATACTCTCGACAAGATCTGCAAAGATCATTGTACGTTGGATGCTCTCTGCTCGGACCCAGTCTTTCCAGGGCTGATTAAATTTTGAATTGCTGGAGGTAGTTTCTTGCGCCAGTGCTTGCAAGATATCAATCCATCTAGCTATTGACTTGGCGTCCTGCTCAGCCTGTTCTTGTAGTGAATTATCATCCCAGAATAGTCGTATGCACTGGTACACAAGCATGGCCTGGACAGAGGGTAGGAGGTCAAGACTCGTGGCCGATTGAGAGCTCAGAGGACCCAAAGCGATTGCTGTGTCTGTCGCCTGTATGAGTAATTCTGCTCGCCGTGAAATTTCTGATGTTACAAGAGATGCATTCGCTGAGTTGCGCGCTGTGTAAAGAGAACAAGCAGCCAAAGCATCTCGTAGTACAGTGGAATTGCTAGTTTGAGAGCAGTGGATAAAAGATGTTTGTCCCGATTCTGCGAATGTCTTGACCTGATGAACTATTCGACTTGCTTCATACTCTGCACGCTCCTTCAAAGTGTTGTTTGTGTATACCGGTCTATTCCTGGATCCCTGTGGCAGTAAGGAAGTACCAATGGTATTGCCCTTGTAAGGCGTCTGCAAATTTGGAGACGGGTGGTGAGGACAAGGGTCTGGGGTGAATAATGATATTGTTCTTCCTCGGCCGGTGATCTCATCTATGAGTGGCACCAGAGGAGGGGCAATGGTAATGGGAGTTGGGAACAGCGAAATATCATGGCCGACTTCAGGCGTGAATGAGTCACGGTTGGATCGAGGGGTTTCGGTAGTGTCGACTTGATCATCCCAAACAACTAAACCAGACCTTCCAGGCACCTCTTGCGCGTCTTCAGGTAACATCCAAGCATAGACACAAGTAGCCCTTGTCGCAAGACAGCGTCCGCACTGCGGAAACCCGAGGTCGCACCGCCTTTTACCCCGAACACAGGCCGAGCACGACTTTTGTCTTGAAGATACCATGTCTGCGCGGGTCGTTTGTTTAGTAGTCGAATATTGGTGCTGCAGATACTCTAGCCGCTGCGAAGATAAGTCGGCCAGCGCCGAGCCCGATCACTCTGGGCCTGTTTGACTAAGATGCGGAGTTCCGCACGCTAGACTCAAACCTCGTGTGGATCCACTCCCGATTTACATGGCATATCGAAGGCCTTGACTTGGAAAATGGGTATAAATAACTGCTGAAGAAGCCTTCAAGTCATCTCTTTCTTTGCATCTCACAACATTATTCAAACTGGCAAAGTACTCACAAACCCGATATTCATCCACCATGGCCAACAACCTTGAATCCGCCCTCCCCATTTCTGCCCTGGGCAGCTGGATGGAAGATCTCTACGCCCGAATCTTCGCTCAACCAGATGATGAAGTCTCAGAAAATACCATAAAAAAGTGCATTGCAGAAGACTTTACAGCCAGGTAAATCCGACCCCAAAACAAATCACCCCGAACGGAATTAATCGTGAAACCTAGGATCAACCATGATCACTTCACGCGACAGTCATTCCACGATATCATCATGAAGTTCCGTGTCGATAACAAGACGACTATTCACGAAACAAAGGAGCTTCAATCTTGGGATGCGCCCGATGACTCAGGTGCTGGCTGCGTCTCCCAGTATCTTCGCTTTACCGACTCCAACAAGGAGACTGGCGTTGGTAGCACGTATTCTACGTTGCTGATTGCTAGCATCAAGGTTGTTGACGGAAGGAAAATGCTGGTTGAACTGACTGAGGTAATGAAGGCAGCTGCTTAGACATTTCAGGTAGATGGTTGGCCGAGGTCAGCGCTATTATACCTACTATGTTACATAGATTAAGACTCGTAGACTAGCAAGCTACTAAAGTACGACTTTTCGACGGGGTTTCGCGTGTAGGCCGTGCCTCATTTCTCTTGAATATTTACACTGGGTCCATGAGTTAAATACTCAAACATCTTGCAAAGTCTTGCCCCTGTCGTTATCGTGTCGCCGTAGAGCTCCTGTCCTTTCCATTAACCAACAAATCTATCCCAACACTTCTCTGGCTCCTAACTCCTAGTCAAATAATATCCCCGAAGCCCATTTCCTCATCCTTTCCGTAGCATCACCTACCCGTTTTACTTGGTTCTCAATCAGTATAAAGTCATGACACTCACGCTCACCAACTTCAAACACTACAGGAATCGACCGGCATTTCTCTTGAGCAGCCTTCCCAAATTCGACGACTGCATCACAGAAAACCTCGCATCCACCAACAGTGACGTAGAGCGCTTTGGTTATCGTAGGGAGATCACTTAGCCATGATAAATCTCCATCCACGGAGAGGGCTGGGTGAGCTTCGTTGACCTTTGGCTTGAGGTCGTCGCTGCTAAATGAGTGTATGGAGGTTCGCTGGAGTAAGCCCGCAGAGAGCATGTCGACGTTTCCATAGTTTTTGAACGAGGAAGTGTCTGATCGATCGCTGAGCCAGGGAGAGACCAGGAACATTCCTGCTAGGGGACTCTCAAGCTTCACTTCTGGGACCGTTGGGTGAGGATGCAAGAGGTGATAAGCCAGTTGCGCTGTCAAATTCCCTCCCGCCGAGTCACCGCCGACTATCAGATCACGGGGATTCACGCCGCTCTGGAGTAGATGATTTAGAGCGGCGGAGGCTTGGCGAAGCTGATCAGGATATCTCCCACCAGGCGCCAACGTATACTGCAGTACCGCAACAGCGACCTCCTGACTCGCACCAGGTCCACCATTCACATATGCTTCCCAGCACCAAGTCAAGTGCCCCGGCAGAGGGGGCGCAACATATCCGCCGCCGTGCAGGAACAGAACGAATTTAGATGCTTTCTTCCGGTTGCCAATCCACATTATAGATGCATCAGTTCCGGCGAGTGGCTCAATGTCGATGTTTAGTTGAGTGTGATGGCCCTGGTCCCGCTGCTTCTTGATCCAGGCTGTGTAGACATCTATCGTTGGTGTGCAGAGGAATTGGATCTGCCGTGGGTTGAAATTTCCCAGGAGGATGCGTCCGACCATGCAGCTGAGCCAGAGATGTAATGGGATGTTATGTTTGATAGCAAGTGGTAGGCCTCGGATGAGAATACCCACGATGGTTCCGGGTACTTGAGATTGTGAGCCTATGAGGCTAATGACACTGTGGTGTGAAGTGATAACTTACCTAGGAGTATCCTTACGGCAAGGCCCAGTGTCTCAAAGACAGAGAGTGTTGGGATCGTAGTTGACTTCATCGCTGCTTGGAATATTGATCCCCGCTAATGTAGAAATCCACAGATCGAGCATATACGTGAAAAGAATTGTGGACTTGCAAAGCCTTGGCTTAATATACTTGATCGGTATATCATTAGCCACAGAGAGTCAAGTGATACAAACAGAAAACCCTCCTCGGCTCGGGAGGGCGGCAATTGTTAACGGCAAGTAATAGAGTTCACGCTAGTTTATGCTTGGTGATATAGTTAGGATCCCCATTCTGAAGCTGCGTTTTTAGTTTACCCCATACCCCAGATCTCTCGACACTCTTGCCGAGGTTCCATACTCACCAGTCCTCCACTAACAAGCCTCAGATTTTATCTTAGCATGTACGCCCATATCGGTTCCATTACCCACCAGGGAAGTTTAGACGGTATCCTTGACATCCCAACCTGGGCTTTGGCTCTTAGGCTAGGCTCATTTGCACAAACCGCACTTCGTGACGCCATTTCTCTTAGTGTCCATTCCCCCCGCATCTCGTGAGTGGTTCAACTAAGCAAGTTAAAACATCATGTCGTCTAATGGAACGTCCAACCCAAATACTGACCTACTGCCGTTGCGTTGCTGGCTTACTCCTATCATCCAGCCGGTAGAAGAATAAAACGAGACCAGCCACTTCTGACTTCACAAAAAATCATAAGACAGCCGCTCCGAGTAATTCAGCTTATTGGTTGTATATCCAAGCTACCTGTATTACCAGCTAGTACCAACAAGCTATAAAGTTCTCATCCGCCATTAAATGCCTAATGCATTACCCTTTAGCCAAAAGTATCCAACTTCTCCAATGTCGCATCAATGGCTACCACGTGCGTACATTTCCGTGCTATACCCGTTGACACTCCCTACCCGCCCTGTCAAGCCACGCGAGATTCCAGGTCCATGACTCGTACGGGCTCTACCATCGATAGCAATTTACCGGAAGTTTCCACCGCCGTTGCATCGAGAAAGAGGAATGCTGCTCTGTCTCTTGATACACATAGTAATAGCACCAGCAACCCACCTAACACCCTCATAAGACCCCTCCTCATGCGCATCAGCCATCCACGTGCCAGTCTGCTGCATAGACCCAACACAACCCCTAAACTGCCGTCCATAGCGACGGTTAGTCCAAGGTCGAGTGATGACAACACCAGTTTCACCAGAGCGCACGGTACCGCGGACAGTGACGGTGGCTTGAGTAGTCCAAGTGCGAGAGTAGTTGATACCAAAGCTAGCGCCAAGACGGTCCTTCACAGCTGTGAGATCGAGACCTGCACTGACGGAAACGCTGTTGGAGATGCTGAAAGCTGACGCAACGCTGACAGCGATACCGTCGCTGCCGGCGCCGATGACGACGGGGGACATCTGCACGTCCCAGTCGACGAAGCGCTGAGTGCTGTCGGTCACGTACGAGGTTGTGCCACTGCAGGACTGACGTTCCTCGAGATCGCGGGGTGCAACGGCCTTGGAGCCGGCGTCGAGCCAGTCTTGGTCAATTTCAGGAGTAATGGGGGCAATACCCTCTGACTCGAGAAGTTTCTCATAGACGCTGACGTGAACAACCTCCACTGGGGTATGTTAAATGGTGATGAGGTGGAGAGTGAGAGGGCGACTTACTGCGGCCTTCGCCGTAGAGGATGACTTCATCTTGCTTGAGGACGTGGTCGGGGGTCCAGAGGGTGGAGTTGAGATCGCGCTCTGTCATGAAGGGAGCGGCACTGGCGACAGCGGCCAGGCTGAGAAGGATGAACTTGGTAGCAATCATCTTTCGAAGACTGCGGAGGAGGTCAGATAAAGAGAAGTTGCTAAGGTGTTGGAAGAGAGGTGTTGACTGAAGAATGAGAGGCGTTGTGTTACCAAGAGCAGCTCAGCCTTTTATACAAGAATATGCCCGACTTGAGACTAAACTTCTCAAGGTATCGTATCGTTCTATCTACACCATTGGCAACTCCTTGATCACTACAACATCGGCAGTTGCTTTCCCATCCGATTCCGGAAACTCACTCGTAATCTCCCAACGTGCTAAACATGAAGCTATTTGCGCGGCTATAAAGATCGTCCATTGACAGAAGTTTAATGTATCGGTGATTATGGATTTATCCTATCTAGGTCTCGGTAAGACCCGAGCTTCTAGTGCATTAGGAAGGTGGCTTGCCAGTCGACGGGTCCGACGATCACGACAACAAGGTTGATGCGTCGGTCCGAGATACGGAATAATTCACCACTGGTCGGGGATATTCTAGAAGGAATGTATGCATGGTGTTTTCGTCTATGGAGTCGTGATTGCGAGACAACTGCCGAGCCTCGTGGGAGAGCGATAGGACTTGGAGAGATGATGTATCCTGGTACTCTATCTTATAGCATGACTCGAGTGCGAAATTGGCAGTTCAGGTTCGAAAAAAGGGTATAGCTTCAGATAACAGTCGCACGATGCCTGTTTCATGGGTTGCCATGGAAGAATTGGATCTTCCGTCTTCGGAATCGTTTTTGAAATTCAGCCGTAATGTTCAACATATAAGCACTACTGATCCCATCGTCGAAGCCCAGATCACCCAGCATCACGTTCTCCTCTCTACCTCTCTCTCAGTCCCAGACCAAATCTCTATTGTTCTCTTTAGCAACAGAATTCACAATGCAGTTCCTCAGCATCTCCTCTCTTCTCGCTCTCGCAACTCTGTACGATCCCCTAACATGCACCTTACACCTCAGTACTAACAACATCTCAACAGTGCATCTGCAAAGCTTCACAGCCAAGCTGTCTGCGTTACCAACCGCCACTACAGCCCCAGTGGTGGAACGGCATGGAGCCCCAGCTACAACTGGAAAGTGAACTACGAGCTTCTTCCTGACGCTACCAACTGCGCCTGCGCCTACTACAGGAACCGCAACACTGGCAATAACCAGTGGGACAAGTGCCCTGACTGTCGCTTTGTGGGTCACACGAGATACAAATGTCTTGGTGGAGTGAGGCGCTAACATGAGATAGGATGGTCTTGTCTGTGGGTCTGATGGCTGGCATATTGGCGGTGACGAGGTGAGTACCTTGGCATATTATCCCCAGTCCCTGTCACTGGGACTTTTTGAACTCTTGGCTGACGATAAATCTCAGTTTACCTACTACTGTGAGAAGAAGTGTGGAGCACAGGGAGCAGAGGCGAACTAGTATGGGACAGCCTTGTCGTCGGTTCCATCGAAGGACCCTGAAGGACAGTGCATAATTTGAGTAGAAGTTATGATAGGTCAATACCAGATAATAAATTCGTATTCAACATCGGAAAACGGCATTTGTGACAGCTCGGCATAGACCTTCACCCCGGAACTGGAGGTTTAGATGTAGGGGTCCCGTAGTTTGACAGATGAGACATGACTCGTGCTGATCATCAAACGTGCTGGGGACCGAGATAGGGCACGGCTCGTGGTGCATTAGTTAGTGGTCCCTGATTTTTTACGACGAGTCATCGGCAATATTTCCACGAATAGCGTTTGAAGAATGGTGGTTTAAACTTTGCAGGGCATTTTGCGCGCATTCATGGTATGGTCAGCGCTGATTGGCTCATCGTGGCGTTGAGATGAACAGACTTCCAGATTCGAAGTTTCGTGCATTTCCCACAAACCTTGCTAGTTAAATGCCATCAAGCTTATCAGACTCATGCTTCTTTGACTGGGGACCTGGTCCTTGTTCGCAATGGTATTTTGACAGCCCACGTGCTTGAGAAGCCACCAACCGAACCCTAATATCAGGCCCTTCTTGTTGACCCACCAGAGCCTTGATGGTCATGGCAGTGGATAAATGGGTACCCAGCGTTGGATGTTTTGATCCGTTGTTTGTTGAGCTGCGAGAATAGATGACTAGCTCGAGAACCCTGTGATATATGCATTGCCGAAATGAGTATGTGTCGATCAATCTGGTAACAATGGGGTCGCAACTGGTTACCTGGTTCAAGGAGTGGCCTCTCGGGTAGACTGTTTGTCGTTACAGAGTGTAGAACCTACCACTATTTGTTCCTGTCAGTCGGGGGGGCGATGGCAAAATTATCTCTACACCGATTCTTCTAAAAAGGATTGCAACATAGATCTGAGTTCAGTCTCATCAGCGGATAACCGTGTGACAGCAGCAAGCCAATGTATTCGAATGGCGTGTAGTAGCAGCACAAGTCTTTCGAGCGCGGAGGCGCAGAGCGCGGCATTAATAGAGTCTACCACAGCAGAGACAAAACCTGGCCCTTATCAACATGCGCAAATTTTACCACCAGCCAAAATACTCAGATTTTGGCTGGATGAGCGCTGTAAGCACTGTGCGCGGATGATAACTCATCAAGACTCGGAAAACATGGTCCGGTGCTGTGCCACATCCTGGTATGCTGCCTGAAGTCTGTTTACGAAGGTGTTACTTTGCTCTGGGATCTGGTAGCTGCTTCTTGTATCAAGTATCTCAACTCGCGCCTATGCGGTTCGGAACTTTTGGCCATGATGTTATGCGGTCTATATGTCACGAATACTCACCCAAACGAGAATTCTGGTTGTCTCAACAGACTACGAGAAAGAGGATGCAAAAAGGGCTTAAAATCGTTACAAAGGGCACATCTTACAGTCAACATCGGTGGAAGTATAGTCAGATCGTCAACCGTGTGATTGCTTGATTGGTAGTTAAAGCTTATGAGATATCAACGAAGCATGTCAAGTCGAGGCACTGGAAGTTTCCGATTAACCTCAGCCATTGCACGGCCCCAGTCAAGATTGCCATCAAATAACTTATCAATCTCACAACGGTGGCAAACATAGAGTTTACTTGACATCGACATCTCAAAGTCTATCTATATCCCAGTCTTGTTTGATAACACCACCAGGCATCTATCATCGCATCTCGCCACGCGACATTCCATCATCCCGAGCGCACTGTAGGAAAATACTTTGTTTGCGCGAATAAACAAACCCAACTTATTATGTATCTAGTTCTTTGAAACAAACTCTGTATCTTGCCTGAAGATGATGAGTGAGTCACATCTTCTCTATAAAAGCAGAGTTTTTTCCCTCCTCCCAAACTCCTCTACCAAAGAAAAATTCATCAACGAGAATCCAACAAGGAAAATTCATCACAGGATTCTCGTTGAAAAATGTCAAGCTCAATCAAGGAGGCAATGGCCAAATACCCACGGCCGCCTCCTCGACCCCCAGAGAAACCGAAACGCGATCTCCAAAGCCGAAAGGTCATCTTCTTCACCCTCGACACCCTCTTCAACCGTAACCGTGCGATCGAGTGCGCTCTCGAGAGATGCAGACAAATCAACCCAGACCTTGCAAGCAAAACCTTGGAAGAGCTGAAGCGAGGGTATCGCGATGCCATGGCTGAGGCGTATCGACGGCTCATTCACACCCGGCTTCACGGGTCAGGTCCCGCAGGCCTTCCTCTGAACAGTACTCCTCATGTTTTGAACGATAAAGTCGGCATGATGTTCCAGCAGCTCAACCTCAACCCGCCGTCCGCTAGTGAACGTAAACGGATCGGCGGTGAGTTCGGCGCTGCTTTCAACCGCAACCGATTTGAGACTTACGGCGCTTCTCAGGCTCTGCTACAGTTGAGGCATCTGGAGTATACCATCGTTGTCGTCGATGATGCTCTTGACTGGGATGTTGTGAAAGATCTCAACTTTTGGCTGTATATCGATACCAAGGTCATTTCAGAAGAGCTCGTGGTGCGCAAGCCTGATCCTCGCGTGTTTCAAAAGGCGTTGGATGCATACGGTATTTCTCCGAAGAATGCTGTCATCGTTGGGTGTTCGATAGAGGAGGACATAGCTGGTATCCTTAATGCTGGCGCAGAGCCAATCTTGTACATGCCAGGCTATCATCACACGACTATGGATTTCGTAGGTACCCGTGTTGTGGTTCCTCGTACTATGGATGAGCTATTGTCGGAGATGAAACGTCGACCTGAAAATAGCCATCTTCTCCCGGTGCAACAACAACAACAACAACAGGTACCTCCTGTACCTTACCCAATCCACCCACAAATGGTATACGCCCCACAGAACCAGGGGCATTCGAATAATCAGAACCAACAACCGTCAAGACAGTCTCAATATCCACCATCTAATCCAAAGTCTGATGAAGTTGGGCATGCGGGCCAATCTCGGAAGAGACCTCGACCCTCTCATTTCCTATTCCAGCCAGGCCCTAGAGATGAGACTCCACGGAATTACAGGCTGCCAGATCGTGGCCACTCAACTAGGGACTACGAAAGGAATGTACGTCCGACACCTCCCTTGAGTCCCAGTACCTCGACGCGGACTTATTTGCCCCGGGCGCCAACACCGGCCAGAGAACTCGAGAGACCAAATGGTGACGGTTCCGATAGGTCCTACCCTGCAAACAGTCCGCTCGCCCATAGACCTCGGAGCCCATCACCACCACGGACGCTACCTCCGATGAGAATGTATCCGCCCACCGAAGACTGTGTGATTTCTAGGCCAACGAACGTCGAGAATCTGTATCAGCCACGCTCTCCGAATGAGGGATATGGGCATGGGACTTCGAGGGATAGGCACACTACGCAAGGCGGGTATTCACCTCCACCTCCTCCTATAAGTCCGTATCAATCACCAACCCCAAATCGCGGCCAGTATCGGGACCAGGGACGCTCTCAGCAAGATTCCGATCGCAATGAGACTTCGGGGAACGGGAACCCTACCCAAGGCGGATATTCGCCTGAAACTCCAATCCCGTATCGAACCTCCAGCCTCTGCAACGCCGGGCATCATGACACGGTCGCTGGACCCTCAGGCCAGCATCGGAGGACATCTCGAGAGCTCAGGGAAATTGCTCAAAGCATGCTTGATCTGAGTCGAGGCCATCCACGAGTTTCTGTAAGTAGCTGCCCAAATGGCAAACGCGAAACGATATGTTGCTAACTTTTCCAGGTCGACGGAGTGCCCGAAGGTGGCGAGGACGAGTGCCGACAGTAGGTGGTTGAGTAATCATCTTGTGCCGGACCTAGTGGTTATGTGAATTGGGGTCTACTAAACACTTAAGGTGGATTTTGTAAGACAGTTTTGGATAGCTGATATACCGGACCAGATGGTTCAGATAGCTAAATTGAACCTGGTTCGTAGAACTTTGCTAGGTATCGGCAACTTTCAAACGTGAATGTCACAGAGTGGTTTCCCATCCGCCGGTGTCTCAAGCTTTATCTCACCCTAGGTAATAAAAAGCCCTAAGTAAACTTAGGTAAACTTAGTATAGATGTAGAGGATCTCACTTTATTATCTTACTCTATTTAGTTAACACCAGTCAGTGATGAGCGGTAACCTTATTCTTCACTAGCAAATCTTTGTTATTGCCACAACTACTCGCCGATACTTATGTACGCTTCTTGCTACCCCGGATAATGTTCGAGTCTAGACGCACCCGCCAAAACCAGCACAGCGAGACTGAACAAGTGACAACCGACCCTTCACCCAAGCCTTCTAATTCTGTATCTAATATGGATAGCAGAGAAGTGAGCTTTGCGTGCCTATCAGATCCTTCACCTTCAAATCATCCGCCAACCCGTTCATCAGAAGTATATCGTCGAGAGAAGCAGGAGGAGGCTTGGTTTCGTCGAACTGGTCCTGAGTCTTGTAGCCCGCGAATTCCATGGTGCGAGTCTTTGGATCCTCCTGCTGCCAGAGATACCAGAGGCGATCGATCTGGGTATGGTGAAAGAAGAAGATAGGATCTAGTACATTAGCTATGGCTTCTGAGATATATGGAACGAGGATATAGGACTTACCATTGGGGGAAGTGTTGGGAACCATGTCGCCACCCATTGCGCTATGGATAGCACCGTGAGGACCAGCCTCCAGCCTCTGACGATAGATATCGTAGTCCTTGACCGCCTGAACCTTGGCAACAGCCTCCTTGTTGTACTTCTCAGATAACATATTCCCAACATTCTCACTTCCATCGTTCCAATCGCGCGCTAGACAATGGGGATCGTATTCGGTGGGCAGGTAAGCAGGGAAGAAGTCCTTGAAGGGTCCGTCGTCAAGACACTTTCGGACAGCGCGTCCATCGTAAATAGACTCGGTCTTGTTGAGGCTCCCGTTACCGCCGAAGCCGGTCTTAGGATCCCAGATGGTGGACTTGGGCGTGTCGTCGGCATCGAGGAACCAGTCCCAATACCTAACCTGATGTTAGTGTATCCATCTTGGCAAGCTTTGTTAGGGGGCAACTCACGGCATAACTCCGTTGTAGCCGGCATTCCTGGATGGTACCCTCATAGACGTGTACAAAGTATCGGTGCCAGGGGAGGAACAAGGCAACAGCATGGACTGGATGCCATGTATTGTCAGCAAACTGTCTTGCAATAGCAACTGGGAGGATATTGACGTGCTCTGCTAGTCCAAATGAGCGTGAACGTAGGGAAAGTCGTTGTAAAGAGTGGTGTTCAACCCAAGACGAGATGGCTTGGTGGAAAGGCATAGAACAGCGTCGGTGTACTGTTGACGGGCTGCATCATCCAGGTCGCGCCATTCGACACGCTTTGTCGGGTTCTCACAGTTAGAGACTGCAGCCGCTGCGCAAAGAGCGGGAAAAGCCAGAGACAGAAAACGCATCTCGGCGATAGCTTGTCAAAAAAACGAACAATATGTTCAAAAGTGGTATGCGCTTGAGACAATTCTATAAGTTGCAAGAGGATCGACCTATGGGCACTTTTATTGTTATGCTTATATATATATATCCTGCCTTTACACGATACTCTGTGTGCTGATCGGCAAACTCCCTTGCTAGTCTATAGTGCATACGAGGGATACGCTATGGCACTTTGTTTAGTTTCCGAGTTGCTGTCTCTTACATTCAGGGCTTGCTATCTTTAGAATTCCCCGACGATCAGCATGGGTATCCACATACGTAGTGACATTTTATGGAGATCAGTATACCCCGTTGAAACGAAGCTCTATTTACAGGACAATAATCTAAATTTTAATAATCCAATACTTTAAGTTTAATTCTTCCTCCGTTACATAATATTTTATGAGTTGTCTTTATACTTTAAAACTTCTGAATCAGCGCCTTCACATCAGCCAAGCGACGGCCTATGCCAAAAGCTCTCGGACCCGCGAACTTGTTTCAGCTATTTCGGCTTGTGGGTTTATATGGGTCGGCAAAGGACCGAGGGTGCATTATGACAAATTAAGGCTCGTGCAGCAAATCCTACATTATAAATACTCCAGCTTGCAGGGCTGGAAAGGTCGCCCTGGCTATGGAGAGTTGCAGTAAAGGTGGTATCCCAGACCGACAATTCGGCATCGAGAAGAACACAGAGAGATACCGAGGAGACATGGACGTTTTTAGGGCAGAGAATAGACATATCAAATTTCCATCACAAAAGGTCATTCATTATCCGTTTTCGCAGCATAAAGCTTAACCTTATGTGCCGCAGTCATCCCAACCATCACCAAAAAGGCGGCTGGCTAAGGATTCATTACAAAAAGCTCTGGTCAGCATTAATGGGAAAGACTTTGATAGTTACTCTCATCTTAGGAATGAAGAGAGTTTTTTCGACTCCATAACAACTATATGGTCCACCATGCAGAACGGTCTCATTGGTGGCATTGATAATCAGTTGGACAGTTTATCGTGGAGTTAGAGCCCACGGTTAACGTTATCCACGCGCGCAACCAAAACCTGCAGATCCCTGTATTTCTATCTTTTTATTGGTCTCTGACCTCCATTAGTATGTAAATGTTCTCCTTTTGTCAAAGATCTCCCAGTAATCGTCTTATTCCTTCTCGGACCAGCTGGTAGTTGGACAGGAAGCAAACTACAGTTTAATTGTCCCAGATATACCCTTCCACTACGCTTGTGTGCACTCAGAGGAGACACTAGATTTTGAGGCCTTCAACACTAAATGGGCTTGAGGGACAGCGACCAGCAAGTTCTTCTTAGGGTCTTGCTCCGGGATGTATGACGTTGAGATATGCATGCAGAGCATGTGACTTTCTTACCTGCAGACCCAGAAGAGACAAAAGGTCAAGTGATACGTCTCAGAGTGGAAAAGATAAATGAGAGGTCAGCCATTGGCTGTTGGCTGTCGAATATGGTCGTATTTATGCCAATCTGCAATGTAACGCATAAGCGTGACAAAGCAACTGCATATGCGCGAGGCTGGAAAGGTGGATGTGGCTGTCTTTTATCACTGGCCGGCTAAATACAGGATGGGAAAACTGATATGAGACACTGCTTCTCAGTTTTGAGTCGGGGAAGGTTATTAATATGTCAGAAGCCCAATTGTAGTCCTGTTTGATCCTCCAACCTTTCTTAGCACCACGCTATGACACTGTTCAAAACAGCCGCCACCATTCAATAGAGACCTCCAGCTAAGAGCGATGAGCCTTTCTTATCTATCAGACATCATAACTTCCAGTGGAATCGGCATAGCCACCTTCTGCTTGCTATCATCCTGGTGGCTCAGCACAACCCTTCTATCATGGTATCGCCTCCGTCACGTTCCAGGCCCCTGGTTCGCAGGACTCAGCTACATATGGAACGGCTGGATTGCCTACAGCGGTAAACAACACCACGTCTTCGTTGCTCTCGACGAAAAATACGGCCCACTTGTCAGAATCGGGCCACAGGTACTCCTCACTTCAGATGTTGAGCTCGTCAAACGCATGTCAGCGACTAAGAGCTCATATGGTAAATCGTCTTGGGTCGACGGCGTCCGCTTCAATCCGTACCATGAGACTATGTTTGCGGTGAGAGATCCACGACAGCATGATCGTGCAAAGGCGAGGCTGGCGCCTGCGTATAGTGGTCGTGATACGCCTAATCTCGAGGGCGCTGTCGACCAGCAGGTCAACAACCTCATATCTTTGATTCGCCGCCGCTATCTCTCAGAGCCTGCCTCTGGTGTCTTTCGTACAATGCCTCTTCTGAATGTCTTGTCGTATTTCACCCTCGATGTAATTTCGAAAGTCGCGCTCGGGGCAGAGTTTGGTTGCTGCGCTTCTGACTCGGATCCGTATAGGTTCTATGAAGGTCTAGATGAACATATGCCGCTGATGGCGCTGACGAGTGATGTGCCGTGGATCAGAGCTATAATGTACTCGACCACGTTTCTCAAGTATTTTGGGCCACGAGAGACTGATACTCATGGAATTGGCCCGCTAATGAAGTAAGTGCCACTTCCGATTGTCGAGTAACTTACTGGAGCATTCTTGGACTGACATATCACTGTCAGAGTTACAAATGATAATGTCCGACAACGCTATAGTCAAGACCAAACGGAGAAGACAGATATGCTGGTACGTCGTAGGGTCTAACATTCCTCCATTTAACACGTTTGTTGATGCCTTCTGCTTTCAGAGCTCGTTTAAAGTCCACGGTCTATCCGAAGGTAATGCTCAATCCGAGACGCTCTTCATGTTTGTCGCAGGATCCGACACCACCGCGTCCGCTATCAGGGTCACTCTATTCTACCTCATGTCATGTCCCCGCGCTTATCGCAAGCTCAAGGAAGAGATTCGAGGCGCTATTCGTGAGGGCAGGGCTTCAAGTCCAATCACTGCTGCTCAAGCACGCGAGCTGCCTTATCTCCAAGTGAGTCAGCTTTGATACTTCACCATACATATAATAATGACATCTGAACCCCCGCCACCAGGCAGTTATATATGAAGGTCTTCGCATGCGGCCAGTGACAACAGGGCAGCAAGCCAAAGAGGTACCAGCTGGAGGCGACACCATCAACGGGTACTTCATCCCCGGTGGCACATCCATCGCCATCAATTTCTCCGCCATTCTAGGCTCAAAAGCTCTGTTTGGCCCAGACGCCAATGTCTTCCGACCAGAGCGTTTCATCGGCCTCTCAGCCTCCGACCTCGCTGAGATGCGCCGCAACGTCGAAATGAACTTTGGGCACGGCCGATGGATGTGTGCCGGAAAACCGTTGGCGTTTATGGAGCTGCAAAAAGTGTACTTCGAGGTCTGTCCCCCCTCAAAGTTTGTCCTTTGGGTGCGTTGTCCGCTGACTTGCGGTAATTAGTTACTGCGAGCGTTCGATTTTCAGCTCACGGAGCCTCTGAGTCCCATGCGGTCAGAAAGTTACGCTTTGTTTCGCGATTTTGGACTTAAAGTCCGTGCCACGGTGGCCGAAGATATGGAATAATTGTTGGAGTGACGATTGAACGAGGGAATAAGATTTATGACTATCTATCTATTTTATTTCAAGCGAAGTTAAGTCTCAAGATCTAATGCGGGTAGTAAATTGAGTGAATGTTATAAAACAGAACCACCATACCCCCGAACAAGCTCGCCACTTGCTCCATTTCGAAAAGGGAAATACCAACGGCGGGAATAGACAATTGAATTGGATATGCCTCTCTTAAGGTGTTCACTGTGCCCCATATCAAAACACCAATGAAGGCAAGATAAAGAGTCCCAAGACCACAGTGCAATAGCCGAATTCTGCGGATCCAGTGACACAGGTTCACAGCGAGCTCCATAGGAAATTGTTTCGTGGATCTGGTTTCGGGAACTACCCCCGAGAACGAATTCCACTCAGTCGACAGCGGTAGATATATGAAAAATGCCACCATGACTGGACACATGCCCATAGTCACCGCCATAAATCTGAATAGAGTAGACTCTAAAGGGATCCACGAGGTTCGAGCGTCGCCACAAACAACAAGTAGAAATACCCCATTCATTATAGGGAACAAAACGCCAGCGAAAAGGCATTTCTCAACGCGATTGAAGCCCTTGAACTGTTGTTCTGTCCAGTTTTTCCTCTGCTCGACTAGGAGAAACCCAAGCGCGACAAAGCAGAGCCAAAAGCAATTGTCATTGATCCGCAAGGCGGCATCGATAGTAACGACGCGTGGGAAAACTTCAAACATGTCGGGACCTGGTTTGTCGAAAAGCACTTGGTTCTTGTACTGGTAGTCATATGCTTCCGATACTGGACCCTCGTCTCCATTTCCAATGAGGATATGCATAAGGTTCGCCCTGAGATACTGCGTCTTGTCGGAGGGGAAGTTCCATAACTGTACAGCGAAATGTATCATTGCGATGAAAGGGTATGAAATAGCCGCCATAAAGTCCGAGGTGGGCTGGAAGCGATGGGCGGGATTCCATATCCAGGATATAGCCGTGGATGCCACGATGCAGTACCAGGCCACTATGGAGCCTGGGCCGTAGTATCCAGGCGTCGAGAGGGCGATGTCTGACCGTGATTCCATAGTTACTTTACGTATGCAAGACTTGGAGTTGCGAAGTAAATCGATTCCAAAAGCACGAAGAGGTCAAAGAAATAAGCGCCTGCGCTGAGGCCCAAATTACAACAATGGCGTAAGTGGCGCTGATAGACAAGATAAGATCTAAAGCGTCTCCTTTCAGCCTAGTAGTGCCTTGTTATCTGATTCAATTCAGGACATGAATTGAATTAGTAAGTATCCTCTTTACCGACCAGGATCGCTTGAACACTGTACAACCGCGGCATAGCATCCTCCGATCTCGCGATGGAACATGATTCGCCTCCTTATTTTATGAGAAGTGATCCCAAGATTATCGGCCATTTCCAATTCTCTTGCCAAATACAACAAGCGCCCGCCTCATGATCATTGTTCGTATCTGGCAGATCGTCATCACCCGATGTCGACTACACTTCCCACTTTGCGTCTAGCTATTCGCTAGATTCAACATAACATATATCAAGTCTCCCAATTTAATCACCGAGGTGGCCACGTGAAGCCCAGTGCCTCACTAAACATCTCATGACTTCATTTTTCAGATAACCCCCAAACCCCAGCTTGCACGGGAACCTCAGAAGCTTCTCTCTATTTCCATAAGTAACTAGCCAGATCTGACACCCTGCAGTGTTTGAAAGCCGCCTATTGTGCTGATTGTAAGCTCATAGAAAGCGCTCTCTCTGCATTCCTCAGCTCCCGCATTCTTCCTTCCCGCTCTTTTTCCTTCTTGAGGACCTTCTCCAAAATTCCGCAATAGAACACATAGTTCTTCCCGGCCTCGTTACTTATGGCCTCGTCGTCAGAGTTGGTCATGGTCGTATGATGTATCACTATCTGCTTCTTTACCTCCTCTCTGTACTCCGCGGAAACATTTATTCCCTTTTCCAGGTCCTCCATTTGACGTCTCAGAAGAGCTATCTGTGTTTGGATCTCGGCTTGAGATGACATGGTGTTCTTGTTGTAATGTAGAGTTGTGATATGGAGGTGTGGCGGTGAGTTGTATTGTTATTGAAAGTGTTCTCGGTTCTCGTTGGGAGTTTGCTTTGAGGAAATGTTTGGCCTAGAGGGAGTGTGTGGTCTTATACCTTTCTAGTCTTGCTTTCTACTGACTCTGGTCGTCTTACTGAGTGTGATTCGTGCTATCCGCGTTTCCAAGTCAGACCCAGGCTGGAACTCGGAATCACAGCCTTAACCTCCAACGGGACATATGGCTTGATGTTCACTGCAATGCTGCCATCGTATGTCCTTTTAGCTTGATACTCGATAGCCATTCACAAGACTTCCACAGACATTTGATGAGTGACGGCGACCAACAACGAGGTGTTTAGTTCATTACTGTCGTGTAATTAAGAATAACCGCAAATTCCGCAATCACCTGTTGCTTTTCTCGTCATAGGGACAAGACGCTTCAAGACGTCCAACTGCAACAGCGCTATGTCAATCCCAACACTCTCGACTCCTCTATACACCTCGCGGGTCATACTTGGACTCCACAGGCAGCAAGGAACTTAAAGCCTGAGTTCATTTGAAACAATCTGTAAGCTTTATACGCTTGCTCCCTTAACATTTCAAGCTATCACCAAAACGCTATGCGCAAATCCATCACTAACTCCCTCTCCCTGTCTTTATACCTCTGCAACTCCTCAGTCCACTGCTCTTGCTGACAGCAGAGCCTCGTAATAGTCGCACAAAACCGATCATGATCCCTTTTTGCCGAGTCCCTTTCGGCCTGACTCCTGCCTACGCTCATTATCCTCTGCGTCTCTCTCCTTTTCTGCATTAAGTCTTGTATTTCACTCCTTGTGTTATCGTGGTAGGTTTGTACCCGCTCTATAGTTGCTCTAAGCCTTTCGAGCTCTGCCTCGATCACGGCTTTGGAAGGCATGATTTTGTAAATGTGCTGTGAAGTGGTAGAAAGGGCTGACTTGTTCGTTTGCAATTCTCTTTATAAGCGACTCTGCGGGAAATGGTTGAGATACCAACTTCGGAGCATATTTATAGTATGTATGATCGCCTGACATTTCACTGACCAGCATGTCAGTCTTCAACATCACTTTCGCCGGCATACATACAGTGTAGCTCTCGAAGGGGTATAAGCAGTGAATCTACTAAGGTGCACACTTTGCTGGTTCCAAGTTATCGGAATTGTTAAGTGTCAGAACTCAACATAATCACCCATTCCACGAAGTCTAGCTCTCCTACTCAACCGCAAGCCTTGGTCAACGCTGTAATTGAGTGTATATATACGTCAGAACCACTGATGTTATTGAGTAACGGCGGCTAACCAACAAATCGGACTCCCTATCATCTCATGTCATATAGTTACTCATGGATCAGTTTTCATGGAGCGCCCAAATCTTTTCGCTTAAAATTTCACCTCATCATACCACAGCGTTTGTTTCATTTTGAGGATTATTCAGGGCCTCGAGGTAGCTTCATGTGCCAAACTCAGTGTCACTGATGCTTGAAATCTTGCCGTGATGCATCATAGCCTTATGTTGAAAGGTGACATTATCTAAACGCGCTGGTTAGATGCTAAGGAGCCCAAATGCTTCTAGTGCGCCGGCTTGATGTTGCAATACCGCGACTAGGTCACCCATGCTATTGTTACTACTTCATTTACCAAGAGACAATTTCTTCACTTATCACTAAGCAAGTAAGGCGTAGAACATTGTGAACACGTAACTTTTGAAGAGCTAGTGCATAATGCACCTCCATATAATCGACCGTCTAATTTAACGCTTGCAATTCTCTCTCAAGACGTGCAAGCTTCGAATTCTTCATCGCCAAGGCTGTCCTCAGTGTGTCTCTCTTCATTCCTAGTTGCACCTCTTCACGCAGAAACTCCGCGCGTTGTTGTAGAGCCACGCGTTTCTCCTCATCCCCAAAGTTTGGGGAAGAACCTATTGCGTTCGCAGCACGCCCTTTTGCCTGCAACTGTAGTATTTCCCAGTCTAGATCATTCATGTCCTTCGTGATCGTTTTGATTTCCGATTTGACGTTACGGAGCTGCCTCTCGATGGATACCTTATTTGGAGGCATGTTGTTGTAGATGTATCGCCAGGTGATAAAAAGGATGTAGCTCTGTGGTTTCAGTTCTTTACTAGGTTGCTTTACAGGAGATCGTTTGAGTACCCAGCTTAAGACGTGTTTTATAGCTTTCTGGCCTGGTATTTCACTGACTGGTATATCAGAATAAGACATTGCTCTTACAAACACTATGTACATATTGACTCTTAGTGTTATGGTGCACCATGAATGGGAGCAGTGAGGCTACAGCTATACACTAGGCCCTTTGTCCCAACATAAGCTCTCAACCACAAGTGACTGCCGGGAATAGCTCATACTGTCTGTGTCTGATAATAAGAGCGGCTATCTTTACCTGATGTTTGTTCTGCAGATTCTTAACTACTGAGTGATAATTGGGTTACTTATGCTGTTATTACTACTTGGCTTCATGAGGCACATTTCCTGTACCTTATTCCTTTATTGATTAAAAAGAAAGCGTGAGATGCAACTGTAGTAAACCTGGGGTCTATGCTACATATATAATTCAAGCTTAACTTTCTCGGGGAATAGTAAACCCTATACTATAGCAAAAGCCCTTTGTCAATGGCCTGTTACGCTGACAATTCAGTCATAAGCCTTGTCTCCTTCGTTTTTAGCCTCTCCAATTCCCGCCTGCTCCTGCTTTGATAGCGTTGTAGCTCATTCTCTCTATCCAAAAACTCTATATATTGCTGTTTAGCCACCGCAATTCGATTAGGAGGATAGTTTCCCTGTACTATCGCCTGAGCAGCGGCCATTTGTGTCTGCACTTGAATTATTCCCCAACTTCTGTCATTTATTTCCTTCTCAACGGTGGATATATCACTTCTCACGCGAACAAGCTCCAGCGCAATATCTACCTTTCTAGGTGCCATGCTGTTGTGGATATATTTCCAAGTGGTCAAAATCTTTGACTTCTTCAGCTGGTTCTCTTTGGAGGAGGTAGTTTGAATGCCAAGCTTGGTGCCTTTTTATAGCTCGCTCCTGTGGCATTTCACTGCCTGACTCATATTTGGATCAGATATTGCTTGTGCAAACACAATCCATGACCCATTGTTGGTGCCACGGTACCTCAAATGGAATCAGTGAAGCTACTGCTACACACCAAGTTCTGTGTGCCCATATAGGTCTGGGCCACAAGCGTCGATAATTGATCGTATATCTAGCTTACAAATTACACATAGTATCACAATCTACTGAGTCACACACTTCATTTATTACACATCCACGGTGACCCGCAATGTCATCTTATTCTGTAGCAACTGCACGATTCATGGGCGAAACCAGCCCGAAGATTAAGTGCAGTGTCAGGTTCAATTCATCCAGTGGATGCTAGTGGATGAAAAAGGTAAATCAGATTAACTGGTTCCCAAAAGGTGTCATGAAAGTATTTATATCTATGTCCTCTATCCTCACTTAAGCTCTTAGCGACAAGTTTCAATTGCAAGTGTCTGTATATCAGTTATCACAGTTCACCGAGTCCCGCTTACTACAGACGATGACCAATTCCACACATGAGCAGTCCTGATTAACTAAACACTCCACTGGTAACTTGAACTTTCCCAGTGTGCTTTAAAATACTGAGAAGACTAAAGTACACAACTGCTTCATCAAATCGTCACTGCACGGCATTGGCCAAGCGATAAATCCTATGCTACATTGCTTCACTGACTAAAAAGATGGATTTGTGGATGTAGGAGTTCTTATTTGAGGCCTATACCATTTATAGTATCCTGAATTCCAGCCTCTCGTAACTGTACTGCATATGATACCTCAAGTGAATCGCCCTTCCAATGTGATCCATCGCCTAGTCTGCACCTGTCCAATTGTCTCTGAATTCTTGAAGGTCTTTGATTCTCTCATTCAGCGTCTCCAAGCGCCTCTCGCGGTTCTCTTTGCGATGTAATGCACAGAGTGCCCGTTCCTCATGTTCGTTAAATTGTTGCTGGGCCATTGCCTTCTCTTCATCGGTATACTCTGTGGGGCCTGAGGTCACTATGCAGCTGGCACATAACTGCTTGGTCTGTTCCTTTGTAGCTTCCCACCTCTTGTCTTTGATCTCTTTTGTTACGTCCTCTATTTCGGACTTGACAAGGCGAATCTCTCTGTCAATCTCCTTCTTACTTTGGAAGTCCTTTAAGCGCGGCATGTTGATCTGGTTGTCCTGGGTGGTCTTGTGGTATCGTTGAGTAAGTGCTCGTAGAATAGCTTGTAGGATTGCTTTTGTGATTGTTGTTGGATTGTTATGTGGTTGCTTGGATGATTGCTTGTAGGACAGCTTATGGTCCGTACCTACACCAGCTATTATAGTCTGATTGACTTGCATTTCACTGATTCACATGGCCGGCGCAAACATGGCTTTTGGTGTGACTCTCTGTCCATCAGCGCGGATACTTAGAGTCACAAAGAGTCTTTGAACAGTGAACATGAACGGTTGGACGTGCCATTCATTGCTGTTGACTGTCATCCAAGCAACGCGCAGCTTGTAGTCATCGTGAATGGCTCAAAGACTCTTGAGGGAGCGGAACCAGGTGTCATTGTTACTACCACGTCTCTATGGTTGGTGATGCAGGACAGTATGTAAGTGATGCATTGTCGCGTTGCTCGCTTTGGCCGTTTGTCAGAGTCCTTGACACGTTATTCGCAGCTCTTACCTCTGATCTTGAATAATGAACCGTTTATGATAAGCGTATCAGTTCATCGCTCGGGAGTTCCATCATGTGAATCACCATGTCTTTGAGCAGCCATTGGATGGACATGGAGCAAACAGACTCCAAACTACACCACCACTCGAACCTTGCCGAAGACATGGCTCTGCCGAGATGATGTAGCAGGGCGAGTCGATAGTTCTGCATCCCCAACAACGACCAAGCAGTGTCAAGTGTTCAAGCCAACCTCATTGCCAGAAGCAACTCTAATTGGGACAGTGCATCGGACACCTCGTGTTTCCCGACAAGCCCGCTCCAGAACCGGCAATCCCTTTCGCACTGTCATCAGCCACCATTCCAACCCCATAAACGTTTCCAAAACAGGACCCTCTAGCTCCAAGCTAGTCAAGCCGTGACATCATGCTCCACGGCTAGCGAGGTCCGTGATTTGCCAGTTACTAATTATAGAGTGTCCACTCCCGGTAGATCGGCACTTTGAGGCTTGGAATCACGAGAATCAACGCCACTAGCTCACTTTCCAGCTGGGACTCTTTTCCTTAACGTTGCATTTTCGATCAAAGTTTCCCCTACTGGAAATTTAGGGAAGCTTTTGGCGTCGCGGGAAGAAAACGCATTATTGCATTAGCGGCTTTGAGTTCGTAATTTCACCTATTGTTACGATGCAGGGATGGTGTAATCTCTATTCTACCCCCGGGGACAGCGAGAGCCACTGTTGTTAGGTCCGCAACGTAGTTTTTACTTTAGTTCATGTCGTATTGGGCTTGAATATCAGTTCGTAAAGCGTCGATCTGTGGATCATGCGAGTGCGAGGGGTGGCCACGGCAGTTGATGTATTTAATAACATTTAATATCTGCTCCATCCCTTTTGTTTCATCTCATTCCATTCATCCTTCCATCACCCTTCCATACCCCCAATTACTCACAATGCATCTCAATACACTGCAATGTTTGGTCATCGGCCTCGTCGCCAATGCTGCACAGTCATTAGCTGTGCCGACGAAACGAGAGGCTGTGAATAGCTGTCTTGTCCAAGCAAAAGTCCCAGTCGACACCAAGGGCACACAAACATGGACCGAAGACGGCACCGCTTACAATCTGCGCCTCCAATTCGAACCCGTCGCCATCGCAGTCCCCACAACCGTCGCTCAAATCTCCGCCGCTGTGGCTTGCGGCTCAAAACACGGCGTCGCAGTTAATGCCAAGAGCGGTGGCCACAGTTATACATCCCTTGGCTTCGGTGGCGAAGACGGCCATCTCATGATCGAGCTGGATCGCCTATACAGTGTCAAGCTAGCCAAAGATGGTACTGCAAAGATTCAGCCCGGCGCTAGACTTGGCCATGTCGCTACTGAGCTCTGGAATCAGGGAAAACGTGCTCTTTCTCATGGAACTTGTCCTGGTGTTGGTATCGGTGGTCACGCCCTGCACGGCGGCTACGGCATGGTCGCGCGCAAGTACGGTCTCACGCTGGACTTGATGAAGGGCGCTACTGTAGTTCTCCCCACCGGAAAAGTGGTTCACTGCTCCAAGACCGAGAACTCTGATTTATTCTGGGCCATTCGCGGCGCCGGTGCTTCATTCGGTGTCGTCGCTGAGCTTGAGTTCGACACCTTCGCTGCTCCCGAGCAGATTACATATTTCGACATTGGTGGTTTGAACTGGAACCAACAAACTGCTCCTCAGCATTTACTCGATTTCCAGGAGTTTGGAAAGACGATGCCGGCGGAAATCACTATGCAGATGGCTATCTCCAAGAACGGATACAGTGTTGACGGTACTTATGTTGGTACTGAAGCTGATCTCAAGAAGGCTCTTCAGCCGCTGCTTAACAAGTTTAATGTGCAAGTCAGCGCGACAACTGTGGATTGGATTGAGCTTGTTACTCACTTTGCTGGGGCCAACGTCAATATCAACCCTACCAGTGCTTCATACGATGCTGTAAGTCGATCTCCTCCCCACAATGAATATCATTCGCTAACAATTCACAGCACGACAACTTCTATGCCAGCAGTCTTCAAGCGCCTGAGCTTACTCTCGCTCAGTTCAAGTCCTTCGTCGACTACATTTCCACCACTGGCCAGAGCAGCAGTCACTCATGGTGGTTGCAGATGGACATCTCTGGCGGCAAATACTCCGCCATCTCCAAGCACAAGCCCACCGACACTGCTTACGTTCATCGCGACGCTCTTCTCCTCTTCCAGTTCTACGACAGTGTTGCTCAGAACCAGAAGTATCCCTCTGATGGCTTCAACCTGATCAAGGGTCTGCGACAGAGCATCTCCAATACCTTGAAGGCGGGTACTTGGGGTATGTATGTCAATTATCCTGACTCGCAACTCAAGGGTGATAGAGCCACGGAAATGTACTGGGGTAGCAACCTCGCCAAGTTGGAGTCGATCAAGGCGAAGTACGACCCCAAGAACATTTTCCGCAACCCTCAATCAATCAAGCCCAAGGCTTAAAGTAAATCATACGAAGAGGTGCTATCTTTTTTTGTATACATAGACATATCATTTAGCGGGTTTTATCGGTTTAATATCATAGGTTTTTTATTAGTGCGAGACAAGTCCCGGGTAGCCTTTGTTTTCATTCACTTTTCTGATTGACGTTCAAAATTCGGCCAAGTCACTGGCGCCTTTTGTGTAGCAAGCAACTTCTCTACATAGAATTCTCTTACATTTCAAATCAAATCAAATCGAAACATAAGACTTTTTGAGTCCATCTACTTTCACTACCGCGTGACACCATACACAGCGTAAAGTACTTCCGTCATCGATCATCAACCCCAACGGATTAAAGAAGTGCAACGAAAAGATTCCCAGAAGGTAAGACTAACGAACCTCAACCTTTCGAAAATGGTCCAGTTTGCCTGTCAACCTCACCTGCGGAGTTGAGGCATAAATAAACATCAGTCTGTAACGACAACAACGTTGACAGAACCAACAGCGTTGGTTGTCACAGCTCTAACACAATTTGAGTTAGTTCCTCTCCGAATTGGTTGACGTGATTGGCTCAGTAGTCAACCCACCGTAGGATCTGCCCACCGGCTGCCTAACTGTGCCTGAAATAACGGGTCCGTTTTAACCAACACCAATTACCTTAAAAAGTCTTCCCCTTTTCATCACCTCATCCATTTCCTCACCAATTCTCTGCAAACTATCGTCATATCGCAACAATGTCGGGGATCAGCGACCGGATGCTACAGCTGGACATGGCTCTGACCCAGAACGGGACACCAGCCACGCCTCATCTTCGTCAAGCGCGGATCAAACGGAAAAACAGCCCTACAGACATCAGCCATTTAGTCTTTGGTCCGCAGCCTGGGAAGAAACACCAATTGTGGATCACAGATCGGATCATGGAACCTCAGACAATTCCTCACTTCTTTGAGTTTCTCATGAACGGGGAACTTCCTGGAGATCGACAAACGTCTCGTCCTTTGCTTACGGTTGAAGAGGTCAAGAACTTGACTAGACCTGCTTCGGAATGGGCCCCTGCTCCACTTAATCGACAGGCGAGATCGACTGGGGAGTGGATTGGCATCAGAATTGGTTCGTATGAAGACAGTTCTCGACTCTGGCCGATTGCCAAAGAACTTCATGCTATGAAGTCGAGGCTTTGGGAGGGAGTGCCACCGATATCTGAGAGGCGATGGCAAGAGTTGGGGCTTGATCATCCGGATAGATTCCCAGAAGCGTGTCGTTACTTCGTTGCGGTCATCAATGTCTTCATCTACCTGAACACAAAGCGCACCAAAGCAGCTCTGCGAAAGACATATAACCTGATATGGGACCACCTCAGGGTGTTTGAGCAGGCGATCAACGCAAAGAGAAAAGAGGAAGCAGAAAACGGCGTTTATGAGCACGTATCAGTAACTGGTCTCTGGTACGAGTTCATCAAAGCGCAATACGACTCCATCTGTGAGAATGCCCACCACTGGATCATCGAGCACATTGATCGCATACGAGAGTCAATCGTGCAAGAGCTCGCGCTGCATCAACCCGATCATCCGGATCATTACAGCGATAAACAATGGGAGTTGACAAACAAGCTCCACGACCTTGCCGAAAACACTGCTCAAGCTGATTACACCATAATGATGCCCACGGATGGATACAAAGGCGATAGTCTCCCAGTAAAAGAGGACGATTGTCTTACCGAAGCTCATGGCGGTGGTTTTCGCACAGAGACAATCAGTTGGTCCGCGAATCTATCATGGCGAGCGTCTGACTACACCAAGCGTGTTAGGTATCTTGACCGGAAAGAGATGTACAGTCATCTGGAGCATGAGGACTTTAGACTGCTCCGGGGCTCCGGGAGGATGAGTGACCCAGCGTGTATGGTCATCTCGGCGATTAGTCAGATTGATGCGCAGACTATGGCTAGGGAAGAACTACGAGGGCTCCCTAAACATCCAGACTATGTACCGTGGATTGAGTATGCGCGACGAAGATCGAACAAACGCTTGGGTTTTGTAGCGTATAGGCTGTGTCATGAGTATAGTCCTGAGAAGTGGGATATGTTCAAGGTCAAGTTCGAGGCGGACATTTCTGACTGGGGACGAGGGACGATAGGTATCAATGACGTTCGCAAGGCGTGTAAAATCCATTGGATTGATGGCAAAGAGAAGGAAATTGCGGATGATGATATCGAAACTGCAAAGAAGTAACTTTAACGACTACAACATAACGCAAAACGCTAACCGCTACGCAGACATTTTGAGACCATGTCAGATCAGTCAGTCCACGAACGTGTATTCCTCGCCATCGACGAGGCAACCATGAAATCATATCTCGAACCAGAACCAGGTAAAGAGAAATTCGTCCTCGCCGTCGACGCAAAATACACACCAACAAACGAAGAGAACGTAGAGTCACCAGGCTACAAGGGGACTTTGCGCATACTGGGTAGTATTCTTTGGGATGAGCTAGGCGCACTGTTAGTCATGCAAAGCGCATTTCTTGAGAATCTCTGGCCGATGGCGATGCATGATGCTGAGGGTGTATATCGCGGTATCAGGGTTACGTCAGTGCTCAAGTTCTCATCTTATCAAGAGAATCTGAACTGGAGGCTCGCGAGTGAGATAGTTCCCAAGTTGGTAGCTTTCAGACGAAGACTTGAGTTCAGATCGAGGAGATAGAATGACGGTACAAATATCTAACGACTGAATTGTTGTTCCCGGGCTATTAATACCTGCCAGCCTTTTTGGCTGCCGTCCGAGCTCGCGTGATCTGCTTCTTCCAACCAAAACACTGACTGCACGCTACATCCTCTAGTTAGAATTCCATATTTTCTCTGCAGGCAATCAGTGCGACTTACTACCACTGCTATGTTTCTTACAGACATAAACGCCATCGTTGTTGACGGAGGCATCTGGAGTTTCGATTGCATCGCGATCTATAGTGTCAAACTACATCGGGAGTTGATAGTGTAAATAAATAGTTATGCTCTAAGGGGGGAAAGTGCGCGTACTCCGTAGAAACCGTCGTTCTCTTCTCGTAAATCGACGCTGCAATCCTCGCACTAGGACAAGTGTTAGACATTTTGGGGGGTTATTAGTGGAGACGGTGAACCGACGATTTCAGCGAGATGTTCTTGGCAGAACATGGCGTCGTTGATCTCAACTGTGGACATAGTGACTATTGATAAGAAAGTTGAAAGGTTGTTCAGTAAAGTGATAGACAAAATGAAATGAAGTTTTGAAATGGCGACAAGGTCTTGTTTTATAAAGTGATGTATTTTGTGGTCACGTCAGTGGCGGGGGAGATCTGCAAGACACTACTGCAACATTTGTGCTTGGATCGCAGCTGAAAGATAGCTTGGCCCAATAGCGAGGTCGAGAGCTTAGCGTCAACTGTAGGTGATCGGCGCTGAGATTCTTGTAGCGAGACTATTGGGTAGAGATACGATCTTATTGACTGGAATCCTGGAATTCAGCTGCTAAAATGAGACATTCTTTTCCTTTTATGAAAGACACCGAACTTTTGTGATAAGATGAGGGAAAAGAAACGTCATGTCCTCGTCTATTACCTGTGTTCGCAGCCCAAAGCTTAGTTTTACGGGCAGCAATTAACTGCAAGTCTATGCCGTCCGTCACAAGTCTAAACTTCAAATAACACATCTGGCTTATAAAACAAGATACTCTTTAGCCTCACCGATGCTTAGAAAAGAGATCTCGATTTATTGAGATGGCGATGCGAAGAAGGTTTATAGGAGATGGCGATATCTGGAGCTAAAGCTGAGATGCATATGATAAATCAAGGGATCGTAATTAAAAAGGACAGTATCTAAATCGATAGCCAACTATATAGAATCCAAGTCAATACTTAATATAAACAGACACTCATCATGCACCAGTGTAACGGTAGATGTGCCAGTCTCCAAGTCTGTTTGAATCGAGAACTGGAATGGATCGACATCCTGGCGAGGAATCCACAATATCCTCCTAGAACCCTTCATGAGCCAGGCTTCGGACTTTGAGTATGATAGTCTGAGGTAACGCGGGTCCCAGTGATTTTCCGCGGTTACTGTTGGTACATCCTCAGCAGTACCACGTTCCGTGTCGTATTTGAGAACACCAAATCCCGTGTCGAGTAACTTGGGGGCTAAAAGGTTCAAAGTTGGAACGAAGTCTGGTAGAGAGTACTTGCGAATCCAGGAGCCATCTTTTGCATTTCCAATGGCTACAAATTCCTGGTCCGAACCCCCTCCAAAGATAGCAAGGATACCACTAGAAGATAGGGAAACCTCTCCAACCCATTCGAGATTGATTTTTTGAGCGTGAGGGTCAAAACGCTGAGTTTCCTTTTCGCGCATAATGTCCCATATCACTACCTGAGAGCCAACTGAGCCCCCATACAAGTTCCCAGCGATTTGCCCATCGGATGTAATGGTGGATCTGAAGTCTTCGAATGGAAGTGAGACACGTAGCTTGCGCAAGCATTTGCCTGTCTTCAGATCCCAGAATTTGATGTATCTGTCGTAAGTTATGATCTGATCTTGTCCCCAAAACTGTATGGTTAAGTAGCTATTGGGATTTTGTTCAGGAGCCAGATGCTCTTCAATCCGTCGCTGGAAGTAGTAGAGGCCCGTGTCGTGGTCGAAATTAAAAACATCAATGGCACCTCCGTTGGTAGCCACAGCAAAATGGTCTTCGTGACCAAATGCTAGTGACCTGATTATGTAACTTGACTCTGCAGGCGAATTTTGAAGTCTCTTGGAAAGTTGGTGAAACTTGCCCTTGACTGCTATGTTTAACATGTCAAATTTCCCATTGTTGCTTATGACAGCAACCTTGCCACTCGGCGATGTAATAAACGCCTTGGTTGTAATGACAGATTGTTGGGTGGTAGGTTTTGAATCGCTCAAGATCGTGTCCAGGCTCCAGATCTTGACAGTGCAGCTTTCCATCCCCAGTGAAGCAAGTTGGCGATTTCTTCCATAGCATATTGTCCGGACAGGATCGCCTCGTGTATGCGCTACGAGTTCTTTCGCTTCAAAATCCCATAATTTGATACCAAAGTAACCACAAAAGGCTATCAAACGGTCATCGGCTACCCATGATACATCGTATAAATATCCATACCAGTCAAATCGCGCGATCTCCTGCACGGTTATGGACGACCTCCATGAGTACAATACGAGATCTCGAGAGCCTTGCAATCCCGCACAGCGTGTCCGATCACGGCTGACCGCGGCAGCATCAGGATATTGTATTCCCGTCAACGACATTAGCTTGGATGCATGACCTCTCGCATCAAGACCCCAAATAGAAATACCGTCCGCTGTTAGAATCAAGAGAGCCTGAGGATGCGAAACGGTATGTACCCAGGAAATGGGTTTGATACAGGAGTCTAGCACTGTAAGGCAGCTGTCCATTTTTGTTTCGGTCGCGATGTTCCAAATATCGACGGTGTGGTAGTCTAATTGCAATGCAAGTAATTGTCCGTCTGGGGAGACGGACAGAAAGGAGCCATCGTAAAATTGGCGAACTGGGAAAGTTTTAATGCATTCCCCGTTAGTCATATGAATGATCGAGAATTGCATATCGTCTTCTGCATCGTCGCCAGATACCGTGATTAGTGAATCTCCACTCGGATGGAATGTAAAGTAGGGCAGGCGGCCTCTAGGAGATTCAATTGACTTGACAAGTCCACCCGTGGAAGCATCAATCAGGAGTATACTGTCGTTGTTGCTGTTGATCGTTGCAATTTGGCGACCATCAGGTGAGAATTCGATAATGCCAACGGCACCACTTGCTATGCCCGGAATAGTCTGGAGGCAGGCATCCCAGTGTTGAAAGTCAGGGGAGAACACATCTATAGATTTGTTGATTTCCTGGTAACAGAATCCTTTGATTTTGCTCAGCTGTGGAGAGAAAATCAAAGCTGCGTCATAGAGTTGAAGCGGTACAGCATCCATGATGGCTCTGTGCGTAGAAACGAAACGTACAGCGTCTTTGACCAGAAGCTTCAGCTCATTATGTACTCTACCATCCTGAAATACAGTTTAAGGTCAATTCGCTTCTTTTCATTTCTCTCGGTTACTTACCAACTTTTCATCAAGTTTCTGCATTGCCTTAATTGCCTCTGAGGTACACCGCAACAGACTCATAGCCTCAAGCCAGTAAAGATAGTTGTTCTCAAAGAAATTTGTAATTGTAGTGTAACCAAAGTTGCTCCGGTGTCGATTACCGGTTGGAAGCCATGCACAGAAGTGGTCAACCCAGTAGACACAGGCATATTCAATGATAGTCAGAGGGGCATGTGGTAAAGCATCTATCTCACCGATCAAGACGCAACTGTCTTTGAGTCTGCAGAGGTTTCGATGGAGCCTGTCACTCATAACACTCATGCTACAGTCGAAGATGGAGTAGTGTTGCTGTTCTGTGCCTGAAGGTAAGATCTCGGGTGTATCGCGCAAGAAATCATTGACCGACTGATGGACAGTGTAGACTGTATCTCCCCTTATCGTGAGGAGGGAGCCACAAGATGTAACAAGGCTCGAAAGAGTCTCTGTGTCTTCAACCCACTGAGTAAGAGTTCTGTCGGCGGCAGCTAGCTCTCGTAGACTAAGGGGCCTTAGAGCAACAGCTATCACAGCAAGGATAGCTCTACACCAGTCCATGTCTCTGTCGTTAATGTCACTAATCATCCTTTCGTACAACTCGTTCAGTCCAGCGGGGAAGCGCTGTAAGATGCTGGAACTGTGATAGTGTTTAACTCCCGGCTTTTCCAGTTCTTGACAGACCAAAGAAACCCAAAGGAATGTGTCATTCGCGTTGTCAAGAAGATGTTTGCGGATAAGCTGTCGCTTAGGCCGATCGTATGTTGAATTGAGCCGGCCGACCTTGCTATCAACGAACTTGAGGACAGCATTTGAGATTGAGGTGTGGTTGAGTTCCAGGTGCAATTGAACTTGAGACTCCTTTGAATCAAGCTGTGACTCTATCTCGGGCCAGTTGCGGCTAGAAATGACCCATTTGGCTTTGCACGAGACTGAACACTGACTGATATACCCAATTAGTTTCTCGCGATCTTCGATGCATTCATCCAAAGCATCTATGATGATGATACAATCCGTAGATGTCTTATCTTGGAGTATGGCAGTAAGGATCCCCGACAGTGCGTACCAAGAGTTATGATCGGCGAAGACATTTGAGCCAGCCTGATCATACTCCCTGCGAACATAAAATTTCAAATCTGGTCGCTTGCTAACGAACAGCCAAATAACTCCGCGAAGCACATCTGATGCAGTTCGATGGGAAGGCCGTGCGGCTTGGCAGAAGAAGTAGAAGATACCGTCATCTGACGTTTCCTCTAGCTCTGTAATAAGCCCAGCTAGAAGCATCGTCTTGCCTTTCCCGGGGTCGCCTCTGATCCAGAGTAAATGCTGTTCCGGATCGTCGCGCCATTGCAAAAAGTTGTCATTGTATAGAATCCAACTGTAACAGTCCTTGAGCAGACCGCCCTTTTCGTGCTCAATGCGTTTCTTGTCGTCTTCCGGGTTGGTGATATAAAGATCTTTGAGGCATGAGTCCTTCTCTAGCTAAATCGCTGTCAGGTATCGCTCGATGATGTACCGACAGGAGGAGATCGCGTGCCCGGAATACACTTACATCTGTGCCATAGATATGGTTAGTCTGTTCATTGATTTTAACGTTGCCGGCATTTGCAGCCTTCCCTATGTGATAATCGTTCATTGCGAAGGTCAGGCATCAAGTTTGTAAAGAGGATGGAGCCTGCAAGAATCAGAGACAACGAGTATGCACGTAAGCAACAAGTACCAGTTTCTTGTTGGGTTCTAGTCAGATCGGGCACATCATCTGATCCTGGCACCAATTCTCAAAAGTCCTATGCTTCTGGCCACGTCACATCACACACCGCCTGAACTATACCCAACTTGTCTTTCCCTAACTTGGTTTGCTCCTGCATGCGCGATGAAGCGGAATGGAGGGTGCACTGGCCAACAGAAACCACTCATCCTTATCCTTGCCATCTCTTTGTGACGCCACAGCGCTAATTGATACGCACCCAACAGCGGACAGCCCTGTCACACTTTTGAGAGAATATTGAGTTACTTGGAGCTCCTCCATGTTTTTCACAACGTCATGCCCACTGTTGGACACAAACAGTAGACTCGCCTCATGCCATCTTGATTCCGCACCAAAACAGCATTTTTATAAGTCTTTACTAATAGCAATGTTCAAGACTGTGATAATCTGTTATTTAATAAATTTAGTGATATGCACTGGGCATAATGCTTTCGGCATGTCGCTATGTAGATGCTGGCTATTTACGAGGTTAAATTTGGCTTACTATTGCAGATAACAAGACGTCGGTGTTGGTTATTATTGATGATAGCTAAAGCTTATAAGACCCCCCTGAGATAGGTCAAGCCAGCACACTGAGAGTTCAGAATTGACTGAAGCGTTTGGCAGGCAGTGTGAATATCTTGAAATCAATTAACTATCATTGATGTCTACAGAGATGACACGATCTCTAATCTTCAACTTGCTTATTACAATACTGGAGTCTATCCGTAAGTAAATGAAGAATGTGCTGTAGGCGGCGCGACTAGAGGTAGTTCACTTGACTCCCAATACTGATGCTGTCGTTAGCGACATTTACAGCCTTCCCAAGTATATTGATAATTCGGTCACCCTAAAATGAGTATTAGCAACAGAGTAAAGGTGTCGCCTGGCTTATAAGTGGCTCTTACATGTGATGGGGATGCGCCTGGTGGCATCATGGATTTCCGAATAGCCGCCACAATAGTAGCATAGCCGTCAGCGTCCTTCGTCTCGAACTTGCAGATACCAATATGATCAGCGCGAATAGGCGCGGCATCACCACATCCATGAAGTTGAGCAGACTCAGTTTCAACGATCTGATCCCGTCAATATCAGTATCTGTCTGCTAGCTGGGACAAAGTACTATACCTGAACCGATCCTATACCCCATCTTGTCTTTAGAGTCTCATAGAAGAAAAAGACTTCGATCCGGTGATCGATGTCTTTGGATGATATGCGCTTATTAAGAACCTGCGGGAATGCTCTCGTGAGCTCATCTAGGCGCTCGGAGTCAACACCAAGCAGTTTCAAAGTTTGCTGCTGTGTGTCAACCTTGAAAAGGCCAAGAACTCTGCGTACAACTTCAGCGAACTTAGCCACTGATGATCCTCGGAACGGCGTTCCCAAGAATACCATCCCGCGGACATTTCTGGCGATTGAAGCTTCTGCTGAGTTCTCGGGTTTATGCTCCCCATGAACCAGAATTTGAGCAGCAACCAGACCGCCGAGGCTGTGAGCGACGAAGATTATGGGTCGGTCAACCTATTCCACGTCCAAAAGTTAGCAATTAGGTCCGAACAGAAACTGTATACTGTATTGAATCACTAACCGTTTGGGTACCTTGGCGTTCTGCAGCCAGCTTCGCGCACACGTCTTCGGCATCACTATGGATCTCAGTCCTGGTAGCACCCGACTGGTCGGTACTAGTGATATTGGTGTCATAACCAAAGAGAAAGATGCGAGATGCTGGGATATCACCAGGCAACAGATCCTTTGGCCAGACTACTCCATTCTTTGTCCAGGTCTTTTCTCGACCCCCCCGTAATCCATGCAAGAAAACCACACTAAATGGTCTTGTGTGAGTTGGGTGATCTTTTGACAACAGGTAGACTTACTCGGCTTGCGCATTTTCCCCATTATATACTTCTAGTAGACCGTATTGGGCCATTGTGTGGATGCATGTATAACCCAGCTTTTGTTTCAATTCAGTTAGATATTGAGCTCATTAATATCTTGATAACAGGTATGAAAGGCCGATTGGTGGGCCTGATGCAGCACACGGGTAAGAATTTGCCCCGGTGACGTGTCCTGCAGATGGCTTAAACAAAAGGTGTATGCATATAAAATGACAGTGTGTGGACAGCCCAAGTGGCTGATTGAACCCCCATCCTTAGCCAATTGACGAACACGAGTAATCACGCAGTCTTCTGATGGACGTTTTCAAGCGTCTCTGTGATCTCTTCACTCCTTGGCAAATATATGATAGGCTGGTAGGCTGCTTCCCATCTGTGCCGCTCAACGATGTGTACCAGAGCGGGCTGATCTTTGCTGAATGAATCTAACATTGTCAGATTGGCTTTTCAACTCCCCACAATAGGCGGGCGCTAGATAACAAGTGAATTCAGCCGCACTTCCCCGCCCGATTATGAGGTTGATGCCTGCTGTTCATCCCCCACAGGCCTCATCACCCCGCTACACCGGGCGCTTGCTCAAGGAATTTTATTTGTCGACACTAAACGAGGTTGCCTACTATTTCAGATGTCCTGACACATCTGTGCAGTCAATGATAGCACTTATGCACAGTAAAATGTTAATAAACCCAGAGCACATGATGATAAATCCTCCTTGAAAATCGGTAGTCTTGTCTCCTAACGCTCTCGATCCCATGTCTTGGAACGTCTCTTCAATCTGCACACAGCCACTATGTCAACTGGTAGCCCCATCTCACATGCCTTCACATTTTCTGGGAAGCGATCCTTGGTTTCCTTGTTAGGGAGGTGCAATTGTCCAATAATCTTCCCAAGTCTTATCGCAGAGCTTTGTTTCGTTGTCCCAAAGGAATTGGAGCTTATCAGAGTCCTGCTGATATCTTGACAGCCTGGCTCTGACTGTCTCACAGAATAGATATGGGGTTTGTTCTGGCATGAAGGGGGTTGTTGATTCCTGGATCTCACTCACGGCGAATGGGTAGTACCACTCCGAACGTTTCTCATGTGTCTGAAGCATAGATTCGTGCTGGAATAGATATTTACTGCAGCAATCGGGGTCGATATGGTACTCATTTTCTGGTGCAAATACACGGTTCCATCCAGGTGGCATAGGTTTACTGAAATCCTTATATCCCTCGCGTTTCTCAAACCAAGTTGGTCGAAATTTCGCCATTGCTCCCTACGGTCGGTTGGCAATCGACTCGTGTACCATTCAGTAATAGGGGATGCTTCTTCAACATACTCTTCTTCGCAAATATAGTTGCTGCCAACTCTGCTTCCTGTTTGGCTGCGGTCGTGGATAGAGCCTTTCCAACCTAGCCAGGACCACGAAGGAAGATCAGAATACTCAAATCGACATTCCATAGATCTACTCGATGCGACGCGACGCTGTAGACCTTTAGTGCCGGATGCTCGCCAGCAGAGACTATGCTCGAAGAACATCTCCGGAATCCCATAAAGGAATCCACCTTCAAAGGAACGACTGAATACTGATAGTAGACCAGACAGAGCTGAGAGAGCATCTTGCTCAAAGGTCAAAGACCGCTGGTTGTATTCGTTAAAATAACGGGAAAGGGATGAGTCATCCGGGAACCCAGCCATGACAAACTTGAACTGAGGATTCAGCTCATTATCGATCTCAGTGAACAACGTGAGCTCCTCATGCCAGAGAGTGCATGAGCATACCCAATGGACCTCGTGTTTATAAAAGATAATCTTTCTCTTGGCCATCGCATATTCCTGACAGGTCCAACCTCTCTGATAGTAAGTTTGAAGCTGAGTTGGAAAGAAGATCATCTAATCAATGGAAAAGGTGTTCCGAAAAATCAGCCTCTCGTTGCCAAAAGGAATGACATTCTGGTTCAGCCCTCGGGGGTTGGATATCCCTTTGATACCAGATATCTCGGACCCAAAGTCACCATCTGTGGCAATGATAGTCACAACTGCATTTGCGTAGATGACTCCCATTGATCTCAACTGCTCAGAAGCAGCCTTTGGCTCATGGTGGGTAACGCATAGTGAATCAGCCCACAGGTACCGTTCCTCAATGGCCGAGGTCAGATGCATGGCGTGGCGGATGATAGGCGATACAAAGTTGCAGAACTCGGAAGTTTCCAGAGCAAAGGGTTTTTCTTGTGAAGGGTGGTAACCCTAGATAACTGCAGGGAGCTAATAAGACTCTATTCACACGTAGCTCTTTAAAGGCGGTCGAAATAATCGCTGGCGGAGTATGGCTTCCATAAGTGTAGCTTATTGCGACGCAGTCAACGGGTTCGTTGCCAGGGACAATACATTGCTTCTGCACGTCGACTAGCCAAGCAGGGCGAGTAGGCCATACTTTGAGAGGATTTTCGCATTTGGCTCCATGGCAATCAATGAATTTGTTTTTCCATTTTTGAACAGTTTCGACATCAGCCCAGGCCGTATCAAGTACACGCCCGATACCTGGGTGGTCAGGCATGTCATCCTTCTTCGCTAATAGCAAACGCCAAGAATAGCCAACTTTGGACAATAACTGACTGATCCTTCTACTATAGCCTTTGGGTAGTTTTGGAATTTCAAAGATGCTATTGTTATTCAACTCTTCGCCGTGAGGTCCTTGAGAGACGACGTAGTCATTGAATATCTTCAGGAGAGCTTTGTGGTTGGGACACGTAGTTGAAAGGGCTTCCTCGGAAGACCCGAAATTTATGTCAGACGCAGATTCGGGGTCTGAAAACTGGCACCAGATATCCTTGCAGGTTGGACAATCAGATGCTCATTGCGGAATCCCTTCTGCGAGGGTTGAGGCTCCAAGTGATGTGGCCATGATCTATCTAGGAAGGATAAAGAGAAATAAGGTTGAAACCAAAAAGAACTGATCTAATTATGTAGCTTTACGTGCTTAGTTGCTGTGCCGCTCTCGAAGGTCTCCTATCATGTGATCTGATGAGGGGAGGGGTACTCCGTAACATAGTAAGCGCAGATAGGCTGCTCCCGCTTTCATGTGAGCCTGCATAACCCATTTAGTGTTGCAGATTCTTCTGTATAAGGACAGATGACTAGTAGGGCTGAGCCATACAAGCTGCGTCCTACCTGACTGGATACGCCGGCAGTTGATTGCTGCCTATAAGATAAGGCTTTTAGGCTGTGAATATTGGTGTCCCGTGTGAATGGAGTCGCTATTACCTACCTGGGCTAAGCTAGGGTCTCCGGCCCAACCAATACAGATAGCCATACGATAATCTATTCACCTAACATAAGCTTTTATCTATAGCTTCTACTATAAAACTAATGGTACACTATAAGGCTGTTACTTGGCCTTGGAAAGATGGAGCATCCTTGATTTCGGTCTTTTGTTACGCTTTGAAATTTGCCCTTACTTCTTTAGACATTGTTATAATTAGAGTTTAAATAGTGGTGGTAAACGCTGATCTTCAGTCGATCACGGCATTGCCGCGTTTTGCCGGGTCCAGTAGCCCAACTCGGATATAGAACTTAACCTTATTATTTGCGGAATACCGTGCTTACTACGAAGCACTTGGTCAGCGGCGGTTCGGACGGTATTCCTAACGGCAGCAGAGTATTGTATTCTCTCCTGCCGGGGAACTGTAACCCATAAATTAGAGTTCACAAACTTTCTACGGTGGCATTAAATAAATACAAGTTCCGGCAATTCCGGGACAGTGGTAGCGTCAGTCAAATATTCAGTTATAGCACCTATCTAAAGAAGCTCAGTTTGGTATCCATTTACTTGGCCACCACCTGGATAGATTTCTTTCTTATTTCATAGCATTGCAGCAGGCTTGATTTACTTCCCCGACACACCAAAAGAAACACTAACGCAGAGAAAATCACCAAGTAGTCAACATGGAGTCCACCAAGAAGTCCATCCCGAAAAGCATCTTGATCTTCGGTGCGGCTGGCCACATCGGCCAACCGCTAGCTGAATTCCTCACACGAGAAGCCCCGGATATTGAGATTTCGCTTGTCGCAAGAAGCCCCGAGAAGCAGAAAATGCTACAGGACAAATTCCCCAAAGCCCGGGTTCTCGCGGCTGATTACGAGGACCCATCTTCACTCGCCGCTGCGGTAAAGGGCGTTGAAGGCGTTTTTGTCATCTCGTCTAGCGGCATGTCGGAAACTACTGCCATGACCAACCTCACGAATGTCCTCAAGCAAGAGGGTTCTGCGGTTCATGTCATCCGCTTGCTAGGGATATTCCCCGAGTTCAACCCCCGACGCGTGCCTGCGAACTTGGGACCGGGAAGCCTCCCTTATGAACATCCGATTGCGAAGCGTATCTTGGACGAAAGCGACCTTCCAGTTACGTACATCAACTCCGGGGCTACTTTCATCGACAATCTATGGCTACAGATCCAACCCGTCCTGCTGCACAAGAAGTTCATCTGGCCCGAGCATCGTGTGCCATTTCTCGACCCGCGCGACGTCGCCGAGGTCGCTGGGCGTCTGTTTCTTTCGGACAATGCGAAGCACGTAGGTGCATTCCACACCATGAATAACGGCCATGACTGGCTGTGCTTTGAAGAAGTGGCGGGAATTCTCGGTGACGAACTGGGTGAGTCACTCGCCTTTGACGGAAGTTATGAGGGCTTCATGGAGTTCTGGGGCCCGAGGATGGGAAAGAAGGCGGAGCGAATTTGGAATTTCTTCAAGTTCGAACAGGCTAACGAGGAACAATGGGCCTTGAATAACTTTGTTGAGCGGATTCTGGGGAGGAAGCCTACTACAGTTAGAGGCTGGATAGTCGAGCACAAGGACGCTCTTGTGAAAGGGGATCGTACAGTCTCATGGGCATAGTCAAGTGAGCTACATACCTTTAAGATAGGATGCCATATGATGGAATACGAAGAGGGAGATATGGAGTCTTGTTGTTAGATATAAAGACCGGGAAGTCACGAATTGAACTGCTGCGATATAGGCTTTTTAAGGACATATTTACTGCTTAGAACTAATATGTAGATCTTGGTACTATCTTGAGCCAGGGTTCATCAATGGATCTTAAACAGACACAGCCGTCAACATTTCTTAACCTGAGCTTTGTCGCCATCCTCGAGCAGTGTCCTGATGAGTTTGTCGACCCGAGGCTTCAACTCCAAAACACACAAGTGTTCTCCACCGCCTCAGACTTTATTCCACCAGATCATGAACAGGGGGCTGGAGATGTTAGCAATGGCCTCAAAGAATATTGGAAAGAACTCGTACATGTTGGTATTAACAGATAGCCCAACTGCACTTGGGGTTGGTGACATAGTTGATGGTAAGAATGCCATGGCTCTTCTCATTGTTATCATCCGGCCAGAAGACCGGGATACTGCCGCATTTATTGCAGCCGTGAGCTTCGAGGTCCGAGATAAGTGTCTTAATGCTCGAGCCAGGCATTCCTCCAGTGTTCTGCAGGAAAGCGCAGAGATGCTGGGTACACATGATATGCTGCCCGTTGTAGTACCAGCGGTTAGGGTCGAGGTTCCTGGCCAAGTTTACGAAACTGGAGGTATATTCTCCCTGTGTTCCGCCAGCGCATTGGCTGCTGCCCTTGCAGTTGATGCCGGCAGCTGCCTGTCCAGCTGCTAGGAGGGCAGTGGTGATTATGGCGGTGAGTTGCATGCTACGGTAGTATGTTAGCATTGCTCATAGAAAGATAGAGAGTGATGCTGACCTGAGGTTTATAGAGGTAGATAAGTGGTGAGTTAAGTGAGAAGAGTGAGTTAGACAAGATGAGATTGAGCTCTTCAAGGAACTGACGGCTTTATATCTAGAAGCCAGTAACTGAACGTGCACGGATATACAATACATTACGAGCGTTGAGCTTGAAGTGCATATAAAATTTCTTCTGTCGGGTTACGGTCGGGACTCAAAGTCGTATCAGCATATCCATTCTAGAATGTGTATCTCCAATCATAGGTTGTCTATCTAAATACAACCGTGCATCCCCTGGATGTAACATGGCCTAATACCGCAACTTGTGGGACAAGGCTTTAACATAGTGGATAACCGAGATGATTCAGCAGCTGAATAATCGTCCTACCGTGCATGATATTCGGCCGCCCGTGCAGATACGAAGTGTCGTTGCCTCTCCTTCATTCGGGACCTTCCAAAATTGTAGTAGGCAACTGAGTAAAGCGGGCCGGTCCGTCCCTGTGTGCATATAATTATTCCGTCCGAAAAAATCTGCCTACCATAGCTTTTTACAATCCCCCGCTAGCCAAAGGCCAGCCATTATTTGAGGGTCTACAGCAAGGTCCTGGGCTATATTCAGCTAGGTAAATTCATCCGGCACGTCAGCCTAGCTAAGATCACATCTTCTAATTTTAACGCTAGGGACATGCAGCGGATTCTATATTGGCACAATCGAAGAGTTGCCGATGTCAACTTCATAGGCTATAGTATCACCGAGGAATGGGATAAAACTAAGTGCGCGGCCGCAGTAATACTCACCGTTCGCTAGAGTGTTGGCTCTGCTGCTATTTTCCGAGTATTCTTCGGAGACTGACAGACGGCAATGGGTGCCAGGTCCTTAGTACTAGCGGCGATAACTCTCATTATTCAGTGGATGTCGGAGTGGTCTATTCTATGAAGAAAAGCAGGCTGGGCAGGTAGTTGCTTCGAAGCAGGATCCCCTTCAGTACAGTATCGATGTCCTCGCGGGGCCAATGGATCTTGGGAATATATCTCTTCTCAAGGTCTAGTCTCTGCAAAAGGAGGCTATTCGCATTAGCTGTAGTCAATAGAAAACACTATACAAGAGCCCCAGCTAGCCTTCGTCTCCGCCGATGTTATGTGGTCTTATTGCTCTAATAATAGTTACTAATATCGACCCTACTAATGGTTATAGGACACTATAGAGTACATTCGGCACTAAGGGCAGTTGGAATAAGAATAAAGCTCTTTGTAAAGTCAATCTGGCTATCTCCACCTCGAGCTCAGGGATAACATGAACAAACCTTGTATAACCTGTCCCCTTAGTTGAGGTCAAGGGCAGATTGTATCATCTGGAGAAGTACAGAGACGGGGGCCCAGCAATTAAATACCTATGACAAAAACAGATTGGCCATCCAGATCCTACGGTGCGATAAACCTTTCTGGGTTAGGTTCTACCAAGTCCCCACCGTCTGTAAAATATTCATCTGGATACCAACGCGGAATCTGCAGAAGAAAGGACGAATTGATGTCAATCCAGATAATAATTCGGCGTAGAAGTCCATTCAGACCCAGTGAATCCAGACCGCTTCTTTTCTCAACCATATCATACAGCCCCCGCATGTGTATTCGGTACGACTCGATACCTCCGTGCATCGCCTCGAAACTAGCCATCTTTGCAACGGCCCCGATAAGAGCATCGCTCGTGTCATCACGTGTAGCCATCAATGCATTGATCGACGAGATGGCCTGGAGGCGAAGCTGCAGGATATAATTTGGCGGGATGGAGGTACCAGAGACCGATGACTTATTTGCCGCGGAAAGTAGCATGACGGTTTGAAAGGGTGCCTCATCGGAGAGCACTAGGGGGAACCAGCTCGTGCGGAGAAGACCTTTGTTTCCGGGTTGGTCTAACTCCGGGATATCCACTGCCATGTGCACGAGATCTGCGGCAGCCTATTAGCCTTTCGAAATGTGTACGGCAAGTAAGGATACGTACAGTGGTCCACAAGACCAGGGACCTGCGGGTTCCAAGGACCAGGATAGGTTCTGAAGGGATCGACCCGGCCGCCGCCGAACTGCCTTTCGACGAGAGGTAATTGCCAACAGGGGTGATCGGCATCTTGGCTGACACATTCAAAAACAACTTTCTGTTCCTTATCCCGTCCCCGACGTCCCTTTGGTCGGCCGGGTTTGGTGTAAGCTTTCCAGCCCCGCTTGGAGATATGTGACCTGACACTTGAATCGGCTTTTAGCAAATCAGGCTGATCGGCGATGACGAATTTAAGATCCGAATGCCGATGAGGGGTGCACTGGACGACTGTAGATCGAGACATGTCTGTTGTGCTCAAATGACGAGGTTCTCAGGTTCTGAACTTCTGTGATAGAAAGAGAGGAATGAAAAACGGCTTATGTTGAGACTTGGGCAGGCCTAGACCTAAATAGGGATATGCATCGGGCTCACTAGTTCATGTTAAAGTTTGGAACTCAGCTGCCAAGTGGCATGACAGATACTGACCTATACGCCATATGTTCTAGCGTCATAGCGGCACTGTGGCTGAATGATCTGCACTATTGAGGAGTACCTCAATCTGCCTCTGGTCCACTTGCGATTGAGAGCATCCTTGATATTTATAAGCTACCCGGATGGTGTTTTTGTCCAAACTTGTACTGTGCCCTTGATCCACCCAAGGGATACAATGGCGCTATACTTAATATCGTAAATGCATATGCTCAGCAAGTGCTTTTGTCTTGTTGTATCAATTGAGAGACATCAGCACTCAAGCCTGATTGCCTATATATACGTACATGCCCTGACTTGAAAACAGGCAATACAGAAGAATTCATCCACCAAACAAACCACAATTTCCAACCACTCTCATCAGTTCTAAAATGTCTCTCCAAGGAAAGGTCGTCCTCATCACAGGCGGAGCCAAGAACCTCGGCGCCGAAATCGCCCTAGCCCTAGCCAGCGTCGGCGCCAGCCTAGCCCTCCACTACAATTCACCATCTACAAAGGGTAACGCCGACGACTTAGCAAAGACAATCAGCCAGTCCTTTCCCAAGGTGAAATATGCATTCTATCAAGGCGATCTCACCACCAAAGCAGCGGTTGACAAGCTGTTTGCATCGGTGCTCAAGGACTTTGGCAAGGTTGACATTGTGATCAACACAATTGGAAAGGTTCTCAAGAAGCCCATCGCTGAGATCTCTGAGGCAGAGTACGACAGCATGTTTGAGTGAGTCTCGCCTCTCGAAGCTCCCAGGTCATTTTCAGTAACCAATGTTTTCAGCGTCAACTCCAAGTCCGCTTTCCTCATTCTTCAAGCTGGCGCAAAGCATGTCGAAGAGGGCGGAAACATCATCACCATCGTCACTGCCCTTCTCGCTGCCTTTACTGGCTTTTACACTTCATATGCCGGATCCAAAGCTCCCGTTGAGCACTTCACCCGTGGCGTTGCCAAAGAGCTCATGGGACGCCGAATCAGCGTCAATGCTGTCGCGCCGGGACCAATGGACACGCGTAGGTTCTCCTCAAGGTTCTTGTAGTTGTGTACTGACAATGGTGCGTCCTGTAGCATTCTTCTATCCGCAGGAGGCTGATGAGGCCGTCGCCTTTCATAAGAGTCAAGCGCTGGAGGGTCGATTGACCGATGTCAAGGATATTGCTCCCCTTGTTAAATTCCTTGTTACTGAGGGGGGATGGATCACGGGCCAGACCATCTTCGCTAACGGCGGTTATACTACTCGCTGAGCACTTTGTGCTTTGTCATAGTGTATTTCGACTGAGACGAAATTATCCAGTGTTCGTTGTACCATCGTTAGGCTGACAATCGATATTCCTATTCGGGAAATTTTGTTTACACGCATGCTCTATCCACTCCTTTGTTGCAGCCAAGAACTACTGAAACCTGACTAATGCTCCGTTTGGCTGAGGTGATTGGATACATGGCGAAACTCTTTTGCACTAAGATTCAAAGATTCCGTTAAGCTTGCTTCTTGTTGCGGATATCAATCCCTGCCAAGTGTTTCACACTGCACTCCCTGGTTACAGCTTGAGCACCTACCAATCAGTGATGCCCCAGTGCACGTTGAATCCAAACATGAAAATACGTTATAGAGAAATGTATATAAAGGAGGCGACTTCGCCTTTAAGTAAAGTTTCTATCTCAACCATATTATTATCTTACCTCGTCCATAACACCTCATCTACTTCTCAACTCGCTTTTTTGTTCAAGACACACGCAACGAGATCTATATACTCCAAGATGCTGGCCAACACGATCTGCCTCTTTGCCTTCGCCGCTGTCGCTATGGCTGCGCCACAGCGCCCTGACTTTAACAGAGATCCTGACAACAACGGCGACCGAACGGCACAAATGAAGCGCGTCGAGGATCTCCGCAACAAGGGCCTCACGTGTAATGAGGGTGCTCAGGAAGCTTTTATATGCTCTGATGGCCTTGGTGGTGACTGGTCAGTATATCTATTTTCATTCTGTACTGTAATGTTGAAGTCAATAACTAATTCCATTTCGAATAGTTTTATTAATATCTTTGGAGAAGGAAACTGCCTGATTTAGATAGTCTATCAAAGAAAACCTAGCCTCTATCCGGCATTTTCAGCATGCCTACCACTGATTTCTTCAACATGCCCTTCTGACACTGCCTTCGCCTGTTCTTGTCCGCTTCTTGTATCAGCCTAGTTGCATGATGAACTGAAGCCTCTTTCACGTGTACAAGAGAATACCATCTTTAACATCTTTATATCATCATATCCAAATTTACAGATTCTCTACCTTTACTAAAACTTCGTCCTAATTGCTCAATATTGAGATAGTTTGTAAAGGATTCAATAAAACCAGGTTATTAATAAACACGTTACCCATGCAAGCGAGGAGATTCTTCACCCATTCTGCAGTAATCATTCCCCGTCGAGTATTAAACAAAGTCTTTAACATCTGCCACGAACCTTGCTGGGGTTGGCGTAGCATTTCCCTTCTCCATCCGCGCAGTCATAACCCTCTTCGGCGATCTTTCTGCAAGCGTCCTCCCATTGATCACCAGCAATCTTATCTTCAGCCGTGGCTTGAGCACACTACTCTCAGGTCAGCATAGGTCTCATCCATCAGATAAATTTCTACTTACACGGCCAGACGTCTCATTGTAGGCAGCACCGCCCCACTACACAGTAAGTTAGCTCATATGATAATACTTCGTGACTGTTGGCTCCAGATGTTTACCTCGTAACCCTGGTCATTGTACTCTGTGCATGCAGCGGCAGTCAATCGCCAGTTATAGCTATCGCCATTGTGACAAGCACAGTTATCGTGAAGCTTCGCCGTTCTTTATTCTTGTTAGACATCGTAAGTCGACGGGTAGATCAATAGACTTACACAGCGGTGGCGAGCAGGAAAGCACTGAAAATCTTGGCGAACATGATGAATTCGATAATTATTTGACAAGGTGGAGATTATGAATTTATCGCGAGGGCAATGAATTCAATGTAGAGAATGAATGACCGTAAGATAAAAGAGTGTTAAGTGTCAAAACTGGTAAAGACTGTTGGTAATGGATGACAGGCCATCGACTATCTACGGACGTGCAGACACTTATAACACCTTATCCCAGGAATCGTGCGTCCATCCCCTCAGCTGAACAAGTCTGTCCGAGCTTTCCCCATCAATGCAACGTCACTAATATCCAGTACCGCTATCTACACGAATATTATGCTAACCTGAAACAATACCAAGGACCCCTCAAGAGATCAGCGCCAACATCCGACGACATTCCCGAGGGCAAACCTTCCAGAAACCTGCTTCTCAACCAATCTGGACCCTTCTCACCTAGGGATACCCCAGCATCGGCAGTTCCGATAAATATAGGGATGAAACCTGTCATAAACTCTATTTTCCAGTGTCGGTGCGAGAAATAGGAGAAGTTCATGACGCAGCCGAGGTTTTGAAACTTCGGGATACGATTTTCCGTGTGGATCACCCGCTGTGAACTGCGTGTGCACTGCCCTATACTGGGCCAGAGTTACATTTTTCGAGTGCATTGATTATAGGGTCCCTGTGTCATATGTGAGTTTACGCATTGCCTTTTCGAGTCATGAAGCGGAGTCGAGATGAACGGGGTCTGTGATATCTGGAGATGTTGGGGTTAAAAGATCAATGCGCCCCGACTTGTTGAGATTAACTTTTAGCAGCATCGAGCTTTGGTCATTTATTCGTTTGTGCATCAATTCGCTCTTTACAGTCACTCATTTGTCTGATTTGATCTCATCGTTTGCTTTAGCTGTTTTGCACAGTACCCGCACTTAATATCTGCACTACTCAGCTTTTCCACCATGATCCCCTCTACGCTTCTCGCTCTCATCAGCCTTGTCTCGGTTACCCAAGCCGCAGCCGCTCCCAAGATTCTTTCTTCCGACGATGTCATCGTTCTCAAGGCCGATGGTACTTCTCAGATCATGAAGGCCGCTGACCTCGAGCGTCTTGAGACTGCCCCCGCTATCAACACCAAAACTCCCTCAAAGCGAAATATCGAACGTCGTGGCTGCGAAAGCACCGAAGTCCAAGTCCTTTCCGAGAAGGAGTTCCTTAACTGGGACGTCCCCATGTCCCCCGTCATCAGCAGCCTCGACGGCTCCAAGGCCACCGTCAGCGTCACTTCCGGCTACACCATCGCCAACTCCCTCAAAGTTGGCGCTAGCTTCAGCATTCCTCTCATCGAGGACATTCTCACCACTTCGCTGAGCATCGACTACACCGAGACCTGGACTTCGAGCCAGCAGCAGTCACTATCTTTTCAAGTTCCTGACAATCATCACGGTCTTATCGTCAGCCAGCCTTACGTCCGACGAGTTCAGGGTAATGTTCTTGATGGATGTGGCGATGAGATTGAGAAGACGGAGTTTACTTCGGATTCGTATGAGAGTCAGAGTTATGGAGATCTTGAGTGGGTCAAGGGCATTATCCGTCTTTGCAGCAGCGAAACTTATCCTGTTCCTTTCTGTAATGGTGAGGGCGAGCACAAGTAAGACTCAGGCTTGGAGTTTGAGTGCGGTTTGCACAGGTAGTAGAGCACCTGTCGCAAAGATCCAGCTCAAATCACATGTTAATTCACATAATTAATTTTGTTGTTAATTCACATAATTAATTTTGTTCAAGACTGCTGTAATCAAAAACCTCTCCATGAGCTGTTGACTAAGTCCAATGAATATCTCATGCTTCTAATCCTCTCTGTTGAAAAGACTAACATCCAATGGAAGTCTTTCCCCCATCCAGATGGCCCTCTCCAAATGGTCCCTCTTCTCCGACGCCCAGTGATTCACGCCCTCTTCGGGGATAGTATTCGGGTGAATCAGAGCTGACAGAGGTCCTCTCCAAACTGCAAGCCACGCGACGAAAGCACCGAACTGAGCGGGCGAGAATACGTTGACTTCAAACATAGCGATCGGATGAGGTCCAATTGGTCCCTCCCAGAACTTGTAGATTCGTAGTTCGGGGACTACCCAGTGTCAGCTACTGTTCTTGGCAAATATGGGTTTAAATAACGTACACTCTCTTCGGATTCTCTCCCACAGTTCCTTGGCGTACTTGGTCTGCGTTTTGTTTGTTTGTAGGTAGTAGATATGAATGTCGCTGGCACCTGTCAGCTTGTCACGTGCTGTTCAAGGATCGAGCTGACTTACAAGCCACCACGCCGACTTCGATCCAATGGATCTACAAACTTCTCATATGCTTCGCTGAGCTTTTCCGACGGGGGATTCACATAACTCTTCCCATCTGCTGCCTTCTCGTCTGGCAATGGTGGGGCATTCTCATACCCGGTCAAGGGAGAGGGGTATTTGAAGACTGAAGCGTCGCCCATGATTGTGCTCAGCAGTGTTGAAGGTAAGATGACAGGGTTTTAGATTGATAAACAGCTAGTGATTGACAATGTTTTTATGATGTTACAGTGAATCAAAGTTTCTTTGTTCTTGGGGGCCAGATGCGGGGGATTTAAAGGCGGTTGTTGGCTGCGTGACTGTTGCTATTAATAAGCTGCGTGAGTCAGCAGCCGAAATACGAGCGGGATCGCCCGACGCGCGCGGCAATTACCCTGCACTGTCGTGTTCTCAATGCAGAACCATAAAAGCGCGACTTGATTTCAATGACATTCAGATTACAAATAGCTATTTTGGGGCCTAGAGATTGATGATGCCTCAAAACCATCGGCTTGGTATCCTTCTTCAGTTTTTCAAACGAGCTTTGAGCCACGATCGCTTTTTAATTACTTACTACATAGACCAAGGAAATACACATAACCTACGGCTTGCCATAATTGTGTATAAAATGAGATCGAACCAAGCTGACAAATAAACGTTAAATATGGTAAGGCTCGCGACATAACTAGAGTTTACCATGGATCATTTCTATAATACGTGGCGACTTTCTTATCACAGCTTACAGGGGAAATGATCTGTGAGCATAGTGTTTCTGCTGATAATTATACATAGGTAGCCAGGACGTTAAAACCCCAATGTATGCAGGTCGCTCGGTCTTGGGGTTATTCACTATAAATGAACCACCTAATACAAATCGTGAAACATGTTCCCGATCTAGGTCAAGGTCTGTGCCGTCTCGGTCTTATAGTTTAACCGTTCGGGAGTCGCCATCTTGAAGATCTGGGGTATTTGTGTTGTTAAGCTAACCTTTCTTGGCCGACGGATTGGAGCATCTTATATGCCTCTAAGGCCAGCTAAAGAGTTATAATCTAGGTTTTCCTCTTTTTAGCCTTTAGTTATAGCAATTAGTTAATTATTATAGTATAATATCTAAGTTATTAGCTAGATATGTTATTTACAGTTAAGGCTTGTGGCTAAGAGCTTAAATCAGCAGACAGAACTTAGTTTAACCGTTCAGTAAAGGAAGGCAAGGATTCGATAGTACATTGGACCTTAATCCAGTAATAAAGATATATTTACTTAGGGATGGTAATCTCAACGCTCGCACCCATAGAGCTCAGCCACTCTACTACGGAGCTTATATCATCACCCATCTTCTTATCCACATGAATTAGTGGATGCTCTGCCATACCAACTGCACCATCTCTAAGTTGTTCTCTAACCCATGGAACTCCCAAAGCCGTCCATAACGAATGATCAGGTTTGAAATCCTTTCTTTCCAACCATGCTCGATCAACCGTGCCAAGAATGACATCAACCATCGGAGGCCATCCTTCCGGGCCCTTCCCCTCATCTATAGTGTACGCGATAGGTGTACCACAGCGCGCGCAGAACCACCGACGACGCCCAGGCGAAGAAGCAAAGCCAGTCAGCCAAGAAGAAGGATCTAAATTGTCCTCAAACTCTTTCCCATGTAGCCATTCAGAGTCCTCGCGATCTGATGTCATGGTCGAGGGGTCATCTATTTTCTTTCTCGATGAAATCTTGAATGTTAGCGCGTGGAGGGCAACATATTGCGCTCCGATTTGTCCCGTGGCCTCTCGGCAATTGTTGCAGTGACAGATGATGGAGACGGGGAGTCTGTCTTTGATATCTGCGTCTTCTGATTTATATGGCAGTGCGATTCGTGACTGCCATGGAGGAACAACGACGCGATAGCGAACGGCTTTGCATTTGCAGCCGCCTTCGAATGTGAATGTTCCTTTGCAGAACGGCATTTTGAAGAGAGAGAGAGTTGGTGAATGGTTGCTGAAGATGTGTTGATGGATTGGTCCACAAAAATTGAGACAGGTAATGTAGCACAAGAAGCCAAGAACAAAATGGTTTGTGAGGTTTCTAGATCTTGGCTGTGGAAATGGAGTTGGGCGAGGTGATTCGCAGTCAGCACTAGCAAGTTGAGTCATCAACAAGATCAGCGTCCGTGTTCAAATTTAAGTGGTAGGATCTGGACGAGAGTCCATCATTGTGTCATGATTGGCTGAAATCGTGCCTCTTCAGGATGCAGCCTGTAGGGATTATTGGCGATATTTGAGTCATCACGGTTCGATAGGAAGAACGTGGTATCTCCTTGGACATATACAGAGCGTTATTTCCATCTCGGTGTATACATATATCAGCTGTCAAGAGCGCAGTCCCGTCATATTTACCTCTTGGAATCCTTTACTCGAAGGAGTATAAAGTACCTTTGGCATCAATTCCACCGCGAGTGTCACAGCTTAGTTGGATGATATCTACCATCGACTTGTGCTCAATCAAAGAGTAGAATCAGGAACACCGTAGTCTTGATTGTAATAGATAATATATTAGAAAATTTGTGTATATGCTCGAAGCATCCGAGGCCCTAGGGTCTATGAATATGTACAGTAAATGTCTGAGACGCGATGTGATCAGTTCTCACCATCAACATCGTAGGGGAATAACCATCCGTTCTCATCGTTATACTCATCCTTATGAGTAGTTCCATGCAGAACTTCATACCTCTCCATATCAAATTCATCGTCGCCGGCCTCTCCGTTGATAATCCGTCCAATTCTATGACCAATCTCACGACCCTCGGTATAGCCACCATGGACAAAACCAAAGAACTCGGCCGAATTAGCCTCGCCGGCAAACCAGAGGCGTTCCACGTTAGAACGTAAATTTTGATGCTTCTCGAGAGTCATGCCTACAGGCCAGTTGCTATACGACCCGTACGCCCAGCTAGACAGGTTATGTTAGTTAAAGACGGGTCAGGGGTAGTTGATCTACTTACGGTTCAGTGCTCCAGCGAGGGTAAGAGAATGCTGTAGGCTTGTGGACCTTCTTATCGGGGTACATGGACTGCAGAACCTCCACGACTTGGGCTTCAGTCTCCTCATCTGTTTGTCTCTCGACCTGGTAGGCCTGCTCGCCGGTGACTGTCGCGAAGATGATGTTAGATCCCTCGAGGAAGCCTTTGCCGTTAAGCGGCTGAAACAGAGGGTAACGTCCACGCTCAATTGGATCGGCATAGAGCTGATACTGAGCATCGGTATCCCAGAATGACTCGTTGAATTGCATGAAGATCTTGGTATATGTCCCCATGGCAAATTGGTCAATAGCACTCTGCTTCCAATGAGGCAACTGGGGTTTAAACTCAATAACGTCCTTTTGCAATACGCCGAGAGAAAAAGTGCAGATAGCATAGCTAGCTTCAATACAGCCACCATCCTTGGTCGTAACCTTGACACCCTTCTTGTTATACTCAATACCCTCAACGGTAGTCTTGAGAAGGAGTCGTGGGTCGTTCTCCTTGAGGAAAGTTTTGGCTTCCTGCTTAAGGAAATAGTTATAGCCGCGCTGGTCAATAACTAGGTTACTGATATCGCTGAAATAACCAAAGGTGGCGTTATCTCCAGCAACGCCAAAAACAAGACCGCTCTCATCAGGGGTCCAAGCAGCTTCAAAGTCCCAACCCCACCAATCTGCTGCCTGTGCATACATGTCGTTCTTATCAGGTCTCCAGCCTCCAGTACGAAGACCAGCTCGAGCAGACAAGTCCTGCAGGTTATCCAGCAAGATTTCACCGGACTCGCCCGACGCGTTCTCGAAAGCTTCATCTAGCTCGGCGATCTTGTCGGTCCAGTTCTTGGCGCCCTCGTGGTCAAACGTCTTGAGAGCATCGTAATCGGCATAAGTTGTCTTCAAGCCATGCTTCTGCGCCAATTTCCAGATGGGATTCTCGTGCGTCTCGAGCGATCCGATGCCTTCGACCCAATTGGCACCTAGCTCGATGGTATATGGCTTGCCAGTTTTGGCATTTCGGCCAAATTGCTGACTTCGCAGGCGACCTCCGATGTAGTCATTATGCTCGACGATAAGGAAGTCGGTGATTTTGGCTTGGGTCAGGTTCTGGGCTGCAGCGATACCAGCGACACCAGCTCCGAGAATTGCAACCTTGGTCTTTTTGCAGGTTCCTTTATCTCGAGGGAGGCTGGCTGCCTCGGCTGCGGTGAAGAAAGCTGTAAGGACAGTCAGAAGCTGTGCTGGTGATTGCTTCATGTTGGCGGTTTTTGGTAACGAGAGTGTCCAGGATCAGCATTTGTGAGAGCTAGAAGGATGGAGTTTGTTTTTATACGAGTCCACCGTGGGAGTAATTAAACCATCGCTCGCTCTACCTCGGCGAGCATGCGTAGGCCGTAATCATTCACTAGCCTCGTTCGCCCAACTTTCGCTGGTGGAGCCGCGGAACTCCCCGTCCGAATGCTGGCCCGAGACCATTGTTGATCATCAGATAAAGCAAGACATCCGCACTCTAGCCGTAGTCTGGTGGGCTTTTCTCCCCTGGAGTGATTTAAATTTTAGATTTCGTAAGCTGTTGGTTCTGTAGCGTCCGTTAGCTCGCCGGTGCTATTGCCTAGCTAAGGAGGTCCCTGACGCTGCTAACCAACAGTCGCAACAACTCAAGTCAGCTTGTTCAATTCAAGCCCGACCTCCCGACTTATAAGTCAGGAAAAATCGCCATAACTTAAGGCTATAAAGGTCCTAACTTACAAGTCTATAAGTCTATATAGTAATATTAGTAATATATAAGTACCTCTTATTTTTTTCTATTTTTAGGCTCTTTTTATAATAAAAATAGTATATTTAAAGTAGGATTTTTAGTATTAAAAATCTTAGTTAGTAAAACCCCGGTAAAATCCCTTACTTCCCTACCTTAATTTCCTATAGCATGCCAGGTATACCTAAAAGGCTAGCTTTCTTTAATTATTACTAAATTGCCTTTTTAACCTTATTTTAAACTGCATTTTTCCTATAACACTATAGCAATATTAATATTACTATTATTAGCATCTTTTCCAGTATTATTAAAAATATTAATAACTATATTTTCTCTTGGTTTAAAGCCCCCCTTAATTGCCCAGTAGCTAGGCTAGATTTCCTCACTAAAGAAGGGGCATTATCT